CTGACATGCAATATGTGGCAAAGTAGCGCATCCTGACGTTGGGTTCGTACTTGATTCGTTTCAGCATTTCGAGCTACATTTGTCAATATTTGACACTTATTGAGCAGGAGACAGCAGTAGCAACGCACGAGGCATGGTGAAAAATTTGCCGTTTCTCTTGCCTGAGCTGCGCGAAAATAAAATCGGGGCCCAGCAGCAGGTCTGGTGGCGAGCCCGTGCAAATCGGTAAATAGATATCCTTGTATCTATGTATATAAGCGGAAACTGGCCGGGCTGCTTGGGCGAAACCCTGCCCTGTTGTTTCAGCGCTGACCGGTTTTGCTTGAGCGCTGACAATCGGCGATCCATGCTGCAGCCTCCGAGGCCGGTTGTTCTAGACCCTGGCGGTTGCCGACACCTCGGTGAACGCCGTCTTGCCCAGCCACTCGCGGCAGAGCGCGGCTCTGGTTTCATCTCTGGACGCTAAGTGGCGGGCCCACGGACCAGTGCTGCACAACTTTTTCAGAGATGCGCTGAGAGTCTGTCGGCGGGCACGTGAGAAGGCTGGCTGGTGCCCGGCCGGACCGAGAGCCGCGGATTCTAGCCGCATGACGTCATCCCGGGCAACTGCGCGCCTTTTGAGCGCGGCGGGACGCGCGGTTGTAAAGCGGCCTGTACCGCTCGTGGGCCGAGGATTTCACGTCTCACTTGAGCTCTATTCATTGCAGCCGGGGAGGGGGGGGGTGTCAACGAATAAACAGGTTGTGGCGAAACATCATGTTCAGAGCCACTGCTGGGGCTGACCCTGGTGTTTTTCGCATACTCAGGCTGAGGAGGCTGCACGTCGTGCTGTGGTCTGAGGTGCGGTGTAGCGCGGGCCGAGCACCTTCTGTGTCGAGCTTCTCCAGCCTTTTTACAGGCCTTGGCACGGCTCTTGACCGACCTGTTTTCACCACCTGCAGGTGCAGGTTTCAGCCTCGTCTGCAACACGATTGTGCGCCTCCGCAAAAAAAACGTGGGTCCAGTCTGGACGTCTTCGATAATCATCGATCGATCTCGCACGGTTCAGTGATTTCCGCCCCTTGATAAGCTTAAATGCCGCCCCTTGGTAAGCTTAAATCGTCATTTGCATCGAGCGAGTTGCAGTTCGGCTTCATGGAGACACGAGGGGCTTCTGAAGCAGTACTCCTTCTGGAGGCAGATACGCGGTGGCGCATTAGTCGGGGCCGGTCTTCGCCGCTAATCTAGATGCTCGGAAGTGCTTCCGACAGCACGGCACGTTCTCCTCCTGTTGCGTGCTGCTGAGCACCTGCCTCTGCGGAGCTGGGCCACTTCCTGGCAGGCCTGGTATTCGTCTCTGTCAGCCCGCATAGTGCTGGACAGTCAGCGGTCGCTGGGTTTATTGTTTCACGGGCGTTCGTCAGGAAGCGATTTTGTCAGCCGTAACTTGCGAGTGCTTTTTGTTTCTACTTATCAGGCAGCTGAACCTCATCGGTCTTGGAGCGCGTCTTCATGGCTCTCATGTCCCAGTGGTGACTTATACTGACGATCTCATCCTCTTCAGCAACGAACATCACGTGAGTCGCATGCCAAGGATTGTTGAAGAGTTCACCACCCGGTGTGCTTGCTTTGGAGTTTGTGCACCCCGGTACTGCACATACACTAAGCACTTTCGTTGTTTTCTTTTGGCGGGGTGGGGGGGGGCAGGCTTACCTAAGACGAGTCCAAATGGTACCTGCGTGGGCAGCGATTGGCCGTGTGCGCGCAGAACCGGGTGACCGGGTGCCGTACTCGGCCCGGAGCCGCGCAGCGGGCGCCACGTGGACGCCCGTCTGCACCCCGCGCGTAAGTCATCTTACGCTCAAGCACCAGTCAGTGGTCTCCGCCTTCCGGCAAAGGAGAAAGCATTTCTGTAAGCCGCCATTGTGGTTCCAGCTCTTCTTCTTGGGAGCGCACGAGCAGCTTTGACTGCAGCGGATATTGAGCGCGTGGAGGCCTGGTGGGCGTCTCTGCCTTAAGAGCAGCTGTTAGGACCCTCCGCGGCGAGCGCACAACACGGCCCCCTCTCAAGGTCCTGCGTGCACCGCCAATACAGGACGAGGTGCGGTCTGCTGTCCCCAAAAAGTTCAGCGGCCTGTTTCACTCTCCATATCGCTCGCGCCAAGCTCCGCTGAGGGCTCTAGCCGTGCTTGCCGTTCCGTCCCGGCTGAGCTTGCCGATAGTTTTGCCGGATCCGCGTCGTTGCTCTGCGCACAAGATTGGAAGCGGTTAGCCAACTCGGCCTGCGGGAGGATGGGAGCTGCCTGGTTTACTCCAGTGCGACCCCAGTGTGGCGTGACCGAGTCTCTCAGATGACTGTGGATGTGACGAGTCTCTCAGATGACTGTGGATGTGACCGAGTCTCTCAGATGACTGTGTACTATAATCGGCTTGAAGGTTCAGAAGGCGAGTGCAACCTTTCGTGTGTGGATTGGTAGGCGGTTACGCATATTGCAAGCATGTAATGCGTATGTGCATAGTTGATGTTCCTCCCATTGTATGCGATCCGACAGGATGTTAAATAAATGCTGATGGATTGATTATGATGACGCCGCCCGAAGCGCCGCCTGCCTTTAGCCAACGTGGAGGTAATTGGCTGATTTGGACCACAGCTCATGACGTCATAGGATCATTACCGCCCCTTATGTCTATGCCGCGTAAACGTTGCCAAGAGACTCGGAAGGTCCTGCGTTGGATTTTTATCGAGCTGATCTATTATTATCCCACCATGCAAAAGATCGCTCACTTTCTGTGTCCAACATTCCTGCCATGTTTTGCTTTAGAGTCAATTCTTATACTTTTCAAGCGTCAAAGTTTACTTGACAGCCCAACGCCGATTTCTCGATTTCGCGGAGGCGGCGTGGGACGGCGTATGCGGCGCAATGATACAGAACTACAGGACAGGACCATGTCCAAAGGCTGCGGCTTCAAATCCCAGAGCCGGATGGAATTTTTCGGATTCATGCGTACATTCTGGCTTGGGCGAGCGCTCACGTCGTCTTAGTTAATCGTCACTTTATCATATCTAATCACAGTGGTAAGCATGCGCGTCCCTGTCTCGAAACCTTAGAGCACCGGTGTCTGACGCTGCGCCTGGCGTGGGCTCGACGGCTCCACGCCAGGCGGCTGCCGACAGGCGTTTCGTGAAATCGATCCAGAATTTTGTAAAATCGGTTCATTATGTTCGGGCGGGGCAAAAGCAGTTCTGCTCGGATGATTCAGCTGTAAATTGTCAGTTAGATAATCGGAACGAATCAACAATTCCAGAACGACAAACTCTTTAAGCGCAGAGTTTGGCTTTTTGCCCTCAAACTCAAACTCTTCGCGTGTCCCTTGTGCTTCTAATTAAACCCAGTTAAACCCTGCGCAGTTCCAAATCAACAGACATGTGTACCAGATGCAGGTAATCGTGACTACCGTTTGATGCGATTTTATGGATCTGCGCCGTAAGCAACCGAAAACTAACCTTCCCCTCCCGCAAAGCCCAAAGAACTTTCCGCAAATTTAGTTCACTTACCCCAGCTTTTAAGGGGATAAAGTCGAATACGTCGGTGGGCGGGGAAGGGGAAGATGTAGCTCTTACTCTGCAGCAAGATCCAGCCCTGGTCTGCGCCACGCATGGTGGGGCTTTGAAACATTATCACCTGGAACCAGCACCGGCAGCGGTTTTCAAATTTAAAAGACGGCATGCCTATCGCTCAGATGTGCTGCTGCATGTGCCCGTCGCCGACCAAGACGGACTCGCCTGCCTCCGTGAAACACTATCAATTGCCGGCACTCATTTTCAGGGCGGCTCGCATTCAAACCTGCATCCGATCCATTCAGTGCAAATGGCGCGCGCGCCGGTCACCACACCGTTCATCAGCAACAGGATGGAGGCGAATGGGTACCGGCTTAGGATCCGCAATATTGAGCAGATGACAATATCCCGATATGGATATTTGCTTTCAACGCAATCATGCACAATGCAGAAGTTCCAGACACGGGCTGGCCAGCTCTTACGACGCCCCGGCACCAGCGGGGCTGGAAGTGAGTCCGATCGAGCAAGCCAAAGCGATGCCCGCATCGAAACCACTGCACGAACAGACAGACGCCGCGTGTGACGTCGGCGGCGAAATCCCGGCGCAGGCGGGACAGTCGTCCCTCTGACGTCACGGCTCAGCGGAAGCGCGGGCTCTGGCGGATGCAGTAATCTCAGGCCCTTGCCTCAGGCCCACATTGCGCTTCCGGCACAATGTGCGGCCCGACGAAAGAGGGACAGTGAGAAAGGAGGACAGAGTGAAGCGAACCACACCATTTCATCGGTCAAAGTCTCAGCGAGCGCTAACGTTTCGCTTCCAGGAGCCGCCACCAGCTGGCGCTCATGACCAACCGACTTGGCACGTCAAACAAGCCGCAAACGCAGTCTCCGTGTATTGGTGGCCAAAGAGCAGACAATCTGGAACCACGGACGCACGCGCACCGCCGGGCGGGATTTCATTGGTGAGACAACGCACGCACAAACACACACGCACGCACGCACCCCCTGACCCAGCGAGGCTCGCACTCCTCACACGGGGCCGGATCCCGACTTCGGTCACAGGTCACCGCCGCGGTGCCGACAGGCCGGGCGCCTGGTGCTCTCGGCGCCGGACGAGGTCAGATGTCGGCGCACGCGGCGCCGGACGGGGCGCCGGCGCGAACAGAGCAGGGGCGCGCGACGCACAGCGCCCTCTGACTGTGGCCAATGCCGCTCCGAGAGCCACCAGCACTGCAGCCGGCCGGCCGGACGGCCCCCCGACGACTCCACACTCCAGCGGCCTCACACTCCACTCAGGCGGCCGCCACACTCCACTCTGGTGGCCGCGCACTCTCCACGCCGGCAGCCGCCACACTCCACACTCCGGCGGCCGTCACGCACCAAAGTTGACAGCGACCGCGCACTCCCCACTCCTGCGGCCGCCTCTTCCCACTCCGCGCAGTCGGCGCCCACCGCGCGGCGCTCAGACCGGCTGGCCGTTTTCGACCTTGGCCTTCTTGGCGGCCGGCTCGGGACTGGCCGCCTTGCCACGTCGCTTGGCGTCCGGCGTCTCCGGCTTGACGCGTCGCTTGGCGTCGCCCGCCGCCGGCTCCGGCGTGCCTCCTTGGCGTCCCCTGTCGTCCGGCTTGGGCTCCGGCTTGGCGTCGGCGGCCGCCTCGCTGGCCGGAGAGGCGTCCGGCATCTCCTGCGGGAGCGGCGCCGGGTGACGGACTGTCGAGCTCTCTCTCTCTTCTCTCTCTCTCTCTCTCTCTCTTCTCTCTCTCTCCTCTCTCTCTCTCTCTCTCTCTCTCTCTCTCTCTCTCTCTCTCTCTCTCTCTCTCTCTCTCTCTCTCACTCTCTCTCTCTCTCTCTCTCTCTCTCTCTCTCTCTCTCTCTCTCTCTCTCTCTCTCTCTCTCTCTCTCTCTCTCTCTCCTCTCTCTACTCTCTCTCTCTCTTCTCTCTCTCTCCTCTCTCTCTCTCTCTCTCTCTCGCACGCACGCACGCACGCACGCACGCACGCACGCACGCACGCACGCACGCACGCACGCACGCACGCACGCACGCACGCACTTGGTGACGCTGCTGCCCTCTTTCTCGCCAACCCCTCAAATACAGCCCGACGATCCACAGCCAGTCCTGGCCGACAGACGCCTGACACCAACGCGAACCAGTTCCGCATCGGCCCGTGGATCGGTCACTCACACGCAGGCAAAACTTACGTCCATTTACCGAGAGAAATCCTGCTCTCGCCACTTGCTCTTGGCACGCCACCCGAGGTTACCCATCTCAAGCCTGCGGTGGGCGCACTTATTCGCATCACGTCCCGCGCCCGCCAACACGGCAGGCCACCCACACCGGTACGCGCAGACACCGACGCCCTCGGGCGCGCTCCGCTCGACCACGCCATCGACCACCCCCCCCCCCCCGCCGGCCGATGGCGCCGCGGCCGCCACCCTCCGTCCCACCCCCGGACGCCGACGGTCCCGGCGCCCTGGCGGAGCCCGCTCACCTCGCCGTCGCTCTCCGCCTCCGCCTTGGTCTGCTCGGCATTCCTGCTCTCGGCCTCGGCCACCAGAGGCGCCACGGCCGCGTACACGGCGTCCAGCGCCGTGCCGTACTTGCCGACCGTCTCCTGCCGGCGGGGCGCGGGGCGCGCGGTCACAACGGCGCCCAGGCGGCGCGCCGAGCCCGGCGGGGCCGCTCCCAGCGCCGCGCGGCGGCGCATCTCGGCGGCGGCCGATGCGCCCCGGCCGCTGTCAGCCGCCGCCAGCGCCGGACCGGCGAACGCGCGCCTGTTCGCACACGCGGCGCCCCACGGCACGCACGAGATCCAGCACGCATCGCATCTCATGCATCACGCATCGTACCGCATCGCATCATGCATCGCATCGCATCGCCTCCCGTCACGTGTGCGTGTGACGCGGGCCCGAGACTGGCCGCGCGCCTGCGCACGCCGTCCGATGTTTGACAAGCCCGCACAAGTACCGACACCTCGCACACACACAACATGACACAACATGACACGACATGACACGACACGACAAAACACAGCACAGGATACGACACAACACACGCACAACAAACCGCACAACAACACCACGACGCACAGCACAACGCACAACGCACGGCCCACGTACCCTGCTGCCCGCCAGCTCGCGCTCCAGGCCGGTGGCCTGGCTGCGGGCCGCCTCCAGCTCGCGGTCCAGCGTCTGCGCCTGTGAGCGCAGTCCGGCCGCCTCCTCCCGGACGGTGCGCACCTCCTCCTGCGCGCCAGAGCGGCGAGACGTCAGACCGCGGGACGGGAGACGGGGGCAGCGTCCAAAATTCGTCCAGAAGGGCGTGCAGGATTTAACTATAAACGCATGCTTTAGGAACCCTGACTCTTCGGCGGGTTCCCGTAACGCAGTTCGTCGGCGCCACTCCGTCGTCCTTTGACCCGACCCAGCCATCTGGCCCTCTCAGTCCACTTGTCAAGCCTGAGCGCTTAGATGCTGGGTTGACATTCGCACGGTTCGATGCTAATTGGCCGATATCAAGCAAGGGAGGGGCCACAGGCAGTGGAGCCCGAAGTCGGGTGTTTAAAGCATGCAAAAATATCGACATCCCTGCCACAGAAGTAGCCGAAAATTCGAACACTGAGGGGGAGGCGGGGGTCGTTCGCCACGTAACCGCACGAAGCGCCGCGGGCCGGCACAGGCCCTTTTCACCGAAAAATCCGTTTATCACGTTACCGCGTACAATTCACTGACGGCTCAACACTTCAACCTACCTTACACCATCAGCTATCACCATCACTTACAGCATCGTCACCACCGTCATCCTCATCTCGAACCACCGCGCTTTCAACGCAGACGCACTCCTGGGCGCGTCCGCGTGCGGTGTCGTGCCCGCCACGCCCCGGGGGGTGGCGTGGACGGGGCGGGGGAGGTCTGACCTGCAGCTCCGACATGCGACTCTCTCCGTCCGCTGCAGGGTGGTGTCGGCCCGCCGGACGCGCGCCATCAGCGACGAGAGGTCCACCAGGCTTGCCCTCGAACATCACCATCAATGCCGCCGGAGTGAGGCATGGGCGTCAGCGGCGTGACGTCAGCGGCGTGACGTCAGAGGCGTGACGTCATAGGCGCGCTGTCACCGCCGGCGCCGGCGAGCGGGACCAGCGCGGCCGTCTCACTGTGTCGCCCTGTGCTGTGCTATGCTGTGGCAGCACAGCACAGCACAGTGCGGCACAGGGTAGCGCCAGGCGCGACACGGCCTACATGCTACCAGAGCCGCGTAGGCGGCGCCGTAGTTCGGAGGCGCACGAGCAGCAGTGCACCACATCACTCACATGGCGTGATGGTAGGTGTATTACACGGACGCGAAGACCGCACCCCTGACAGAACTAACTTAGCGTCGACAGAAAAGAATGGTTTGTCAAAAACCGGCGGCGCTGCGCCCCCCCCCCCCCCCTCCCATCGCTGGCTGCGTCAGTTACGCCGTCATCAGCAGTGGCGACGTAACTGCGGCGGGTTACGGGGGGGGGGCTCAACGGGGGGGGGGCTCACGCGGCATCCCACACACATCACAACCCGCCGTCCTTCCGGTCCGGCTCCACACGACCACCACCGCTGCGTGTCGTCGCCCCCCCCCCCCCCCCCCACCCCAGCAAGCGACCTCCTCCGACGCTTCGCCCGCGGCTGGCGCGCCACAAACGCCACCGGCGCGCCACCAGCGCCGCACCTGGGCTGCTCCTCGGAGTCGGCGGCGGCCGAGGCGGCGGCGGCGGTAGCGGTGGCAGCAGCAGCGGCGGCGGCGGAGGACGCGCCACCGCTGGCGGCGCCGCGGCGCGCGAATGCCGGCAGGTGCTGCCAGTTGCCTGGAGGACGGCGCCGCGGGTGAGACGGCAGTCCGCAAGCGACGGCGGCGGGCTCGCCCACCACCAGGGGGAGCTACGCGACACCAGGGGGGAGCTACGCGACGATGTGCCGGTACGGGGGCGCTCATGCGGGGGGGGGGGGGGGTAGTGAATAGAACAACATTCACCGCAATAGCAAGAGCAACAGCAACAAAAACAACAAACAACAAAAAACAACAAAAGAGCCACAGCAATAGTAGCGTATTGCTGGACACCATGTCAGATGGGGACTGGATGGTCTTATCAAGCCGTGAATTTCAGCTTTCTTAACACGAACGGACGCTCCTCATTCCGTAAAGTAGCGTTTCGATTCCACGAGTTCTAGAGTTGTAACGTCGCCGTCTCTCACGTTGGCGTTTGGGCGTCCACAGCATGGGCCAAAACACCTACCGTAATTGAGGGCCGTCACAGCGCTACCACCTCACATTTGCGTAAACCCAATGACAAAAACTTTCGAATAACCACAGTGTAAAGAAACAATCCTGGAAATCGTAGAGAAAAATTATAGAACAGGGACACCAAATCGACCGAACCGGCACACCACGGCTTTACCGGCACCCAACACCGAACCGTCTCCCCTCCCCCCTCCCACCTCCTCCCCCTCCTCTCCGTCTCACCCTTGGCCAGAGTGGTGACGTCAGCCTGCCGGCTGGGATCGGGCTTCTCCTCCTCGCCGTCCTCCGGCACCGGCCGGTCAGTCAGGCGCCGGTACGGCACGGCGTCCTTCTCCGCCACTTTCTGCACCAGCTTGCGACTCTGCCGCCGCGCCGGCCGAGCGGTCAGCCAACCGAGCTCGCGGGCGAGGGACCGGGTTCGATTCCCGCCGCGGGGGGTTTTCGACGGGTCGATTTTAACCCGCGAAACGATTAGCAATATTACTCAAGGGAGACCAGCCGTCGGATCCACAGAGCCCCCAACCGAGTTAGCGATGACGTCAGAGTGCACTGGTATGCAAATGGCACATTCCATAGATCAAATCACACATTCACAACTGCTCCGCGCCAAAAGATGCCGAAGCCCTCATCGAATGGCTGAGTGCGCAAAAAACTACCCAGTCTTGGGCGAGTGCTGGGAAAATCGGCGTAAGACGCCGCTGCCCGCTGGGGAGCGAACAGGCACCAGAGGCAACATCCCCGCAGCGCCCCAACGTCCGGCGAATACCTCGCCAAAACTCCACTTCGGCCTTCTGGCCCAAGGCCCTATAAACCAGGCACGGCCATCCGGCCGATCGCCGTCACGTGATCCCGTGACGTCATCGGTTGCCCGTTCCGCCGGTCTGACACCTGCACCACGAGATGTGCAGGAGAGCCGTCTGATTGGGCAGAGGATGCCGCCGTCAGTCGAATCGGTTTGCGTCAGTGCGTGGCCCTATGTGGCCCTACGGGCGATAGGCCGCTGACCGGGATGACCTACGGCCGCTGACCGGGATGACCTACGGTCGCTGAACGGGATGACCTACGTCGCTGAACGGGATGACCTACGGCCGCTGAACGGGGGACGGCGGCCTGCTCTAACCCACCCACCAGTCAACAATAATCTCTTCCGACCCGCTCACAACCGCTCCGTGTCGCTGCTCCGGCCCCCGCGCGCTACTGGCTTCTGAACACTTCAGCTGCACTGGCGGACCGAACTCAGCGCGCGCCACGCGCGCCACCGCACCGCACCTGCGCGCGGCTGAGGCCGATGCCGATGGTGTACAGGATCTCCTCAGGTCCTTGTCGACGACGTAGCCGCAGTGGGACGTGTCGAAGTAGGCGAAGGCGTTCAGCAGGGCCTTGTTGGCCGTGTACATCTGCCGAGCGGGCGGGCAGCGGTCAGCGACGGCGCAGAGCCCGCCCGGGCGGCGGCGGCGGCGGCGGCGGTCGACTCCCACATCGGGTAGTCTGGGACGCGCCACTTCGGACCGGGACCGGGGCACCGGGGCGCGTCGCGCCGTCCGGGCGGACCACGACAGCACCAGCGCGCGAACTGAGGTCCGCCGCAGACGGTGAGGAGCGACGGGCACGGACCCACCAATCAGCGACCAGCCCGGGACTGAGCGCTGATCAAGACCCGCCTCGTCACGGCGGACGTCTGCCCCAACGGAGCACTGATGGGGAGGGGAGAATGACAAGACATAGGCTGCGTAGAGCCGGGAACGACGTCGGCGTCGCTGGGGTCCTTATGAGGTGGTTATGGGTCATTATCCGGGTATGAGGGTGACAGCGAGGTGACTGGGCACGGGGACGTACGTTGGCGTCGCTGGAGGTGTGATCGTCGTCGTCACGCTCCTCCGATTCCTCCTTGTCCTCCTTCTTCTTGTCCTCGTCCCCGGCCGCCTCCTTCTTCTCCTTGTCCTGGTCCTTGCTCTTCTTCTGCAAGCAGCGCCGAGGAGAAAAGGAAACGTCAACGCAACTGGACAACGCGCGCCAGGCCAGCGCTGCCGACGCTACGCCATTCGCGAACGGGGACCATGGTCTAAGACTCTGCGAGACGTTGACGGCTCACAATGAATCAACACGAAAGTTTCATAACGAAGTGAACAGCTCAACAGGAGGAAGCACGGGTGAGATGTGGCGTGGAGCACCTGCGCTGCAGCACAGGACGCTACTCCGTCCCAGCCCGGCTCCAACTCCTGCTCAGCGTCCTAGCCCGGCCCCGCCCCGCCCGCCCCGTTGGCAGCGCGCCGCACCACGCCGTACCTCCTCGCGCGGTTTGTCCGGTGCCTCCACCAGCGCCCGGTAGATGGTGAAGCCGGCGTCTCGCATCAGCATCTCGTTTGAACACCTCGGCGAACAGCGACACCTCGAATGAGTGTTCCTGCGGAGACGGCAGGGGCGTCATGTCTTACGCCGGCCAACACCGACATCCCAAACAGGTGTCAAGCGGGGCCGGCAGAGGTGTTATGTTACACCTCGACGAAACACCGACACCCCAAACAGGTGCTCGCGTGGGGACGGCGCGGCGTTCCATCAGACATCAGTGAAAAGCGACGCATTAAACGAGTGTTCTTCCGTGGTGGATCAGACAAGTCGGCACGCGCACCGACTCTCGCTGTCACCGCCGCGACCACTCAGATCGTTGTCGACCGGGGAAACGTATTCAGCCTGCAGCGCGTCTCGAACTCACGACCTCTACATCCAAAGTGCGGTGGACCACCCCACTGAGCTCCTGCACCACGCGCCTCCCATACCCGATCACGAACGGACCAGAACGGGCCAGAACGGACCGGAACGAACCGGAACCGTCCGAGGCTCTCCACTAATGATGCCAGTCCACCTCACAGCCGTGTGCTGCCATAGCTACGCACCGCAATATGGCGCCACACCGAAACTGCTCGGCACTCCTCCGCTCTGAGGACGCACATGAGCTTTACAGCATGATCTGGGAGCGCATATGAGCTTTACAGCATGCTCTGAGAACGCGTATGACCTTTCCAGCATGCTCTGGAACGCATATGACCTTTACGGCATGCTGAGAGCGCATTTGGGCTTCACAGCATGCCAGCAAGAGATTTCGACAGACGCACTTATCTATTGAAGCGCTGTAGTCTCGCCGCCGATTCAGAGCTCTTGGCCGCTCAGGATGTTCTCGCCATGAGGGATTCTCACCTGAGAACCTGCCACCTCGAGGCACGAGCACTTGCCATTGGTAGCCAGACAACGGTAATGTCGTGACCGTGACATGGCGACGGAAAACGTCCCCCGAGCCCCGAGCAGTGACCGGTTTGAGAGGCGTGAGGGTTCTCGCCTCCATGCGGACGAGCAGTCCCGCATCGTTCTCACCTTGTTGTCCTCGGGACGGTAGTCGAGCAGGACGGAGAGCGACATGACCGTGCAGTCGAACTTGCCCGACTTGGCCGTCCTGTGCGGGTGCACCACCACCTGCGGCGTGTCCGGCAGCTGGTACCTGAAGCAGACGACGGTGAGGGTGACGCTGCTGGAGCCGCTGCTGCTGCTGATGATCGTTACCACCAACATGGTGATAAAGAGGATGACGCTGATGACTGGGATCATGTGCTTTGCGGATGTATGATGATGTGTGATGAAGGTCAGCTATTTTCATCACGAGATATCATACTTGAGTCATCTTCATTCTTTGCAGTTTAGGGTCTGGCACATGGCACGCGTGTACAGCTGGGTACTGCTGACCGCTGGGAACCGGCGGGCGCAAACGCCGTCGAGGCAGACATGATGAATGATGATGAAACGCACGCAAAAGGCAGACGGCCCGGCCAAAAACCATCCTTCCCGCCCAGTAAATAACAGCGACCAGTGAACAAAGTCCAACCGAGCGCAGCACCGCGGCACCGCCACACCCACTCCACATCGGCTCACTTTTTCTCGAGCGCCCGCCGCTCGGCCTCCTCCCGCCGCCGCGCCTCCTCGTCCTCGGGCGGCTCGGGCTCGGCGGCCGGTGCCGGCGCTGGCGGCGCCGGCGGCGGTGCCGGCGCCGGCTGGGCGGCCGCCGCCGCGCCCGACACCCGCTCCTCCTCCTCGCGCTCCTCCTCCGTCTTCAGCACCTTGGTGAGCCGCGCGATCAGCTGAGACTTGAGGCCTGTCGGCGGGGTAGGTGGTAGGGTGTCAGGGAGGCGGGCGAGGCGGCGGACGGCGCGGGACAGCGGGGTGGCAGACGCATCTGCCGTCTGCCTGTAAGGATATGGCGGCGACGTGACGGTGGTGGTGGTGATGGTAATTGATGGTAGTAATGATGATGATGACGACGGCGACGATGATGATGATGGTAGTGATGGTGGGTCGTGGTGGTGCTGGTGATAATGATGAAAATGATTATCATGATGATGAAGAAGATGATGATGCTGACGATGATGACGGCTTTTGGGCACATGAACTGCAAGCGGTCCCACCGCGCCGGCGCGTTGGTGAGACTCAGTGGTACACTGTCCCTGTTGTGAATGTTTGTACGCTATCGGTAAAATGTATTTCATTGTTTCGTGCAGTTTCTTCGGCAGTGAAATGGGACCGCACTGGCACTGCCTGTCATTAATCACAGGACCGCCCTGCCCTTGGGGCCAGAGCCAAGCACGCGGCCAGCTCGCCTGCGGCTCAAGCCACGGTGTGTGTGGCGAACAGTCTGGAATCCCTCCCGAGGTGCAGCGAGATCTCCTCCCCGCCAGTGCCAGCCCACCCATGCTCCCCTCGTGGAGCCTGGCCGAGCCCGCGAGACCTACGGCTCGACGTCTGGCGCGGGCGCGCGCCGCGCCAGAGCGCCCGCCCTCGGAGAAACGACCGCTCGCCCCGCGCACGAAGCAACATCAAGAGAAGCGGCGAAAGCTTCGGGAGGGTGGGCTTTCCCACTCCCGCAACCGGGGATCTCCCGCAGAGCCCAAGTCACAGTCCCCGGCGGTCCGAGGTGGAGGCCCCGGCAGCGCGGACGACGCGCAGCCCGCCGCCGCCCCCCGGCCGCACCTTTCGGACTGAGCGAGCGCAGCTCCAGCTCCTGCTTCAGCTCGGCCACCTTCATGCTCTTCGGGTCGAGCTCCGTCCAGCGCGTGGGCTCCTGTTTTGGTCGCCACCTCGCCGTCGCCACCTCCTCGTCCTGCACGGCCACGCCACGCACGCACGTGCCGCGTCAGAGCGGGCGGTGGCAGTGGCAGTGGCGGCGGCAGGCACACCGCTCCCTCCCGCCACGGCCAACGGCGTGCACGCACCAGGAGGTAGGGCTGGCGTCATCCCCGGCATGGGGCTGGCGTCCACCCCCATCACGGGACTGACATCATCTGGCCCGGGACTGACGTCAAATGGGTACGAGGCCGGCGTCATCTTGTCATAGGACTGACGTCAAATGGTTACGAGGCCGGCGTCATCTGGTCATAGGGACTGACGTCAATGGTTACGAGGGCCGGCGTCATCTTGTCTAGGACTGACGTTCAAATGGTTACGAGGCCGGCGTCATCTGGTCATGGGACTGACGTCAAATGCTTACGAGGCCGGCGTCATCTTGTCATAGGACTGACGTCAAATGGTTACGAGGGCCGGCGTCATCTGGTCATGGGACTGACGTCAAATGCTTACGAGGCCGGCGTCATCTGGCCCCGGGACTGACGTCAAATGGTTACGAGGCCGGCGTCATCTTGTCATAGGACTGACGTCAAATGGTTAGGAGGCCGGCGTCATCTGGTCATGGGACTGACGTCAAATGGCTACGAGGCCGGCGTCATCTGGTCATGGGACTGACGTCCAAATGGCTACGAGGCCGGCGTCATCTGGTCATGGGACTGACGTCAAATGGCTACGAGGCCGGCGTCATCTGGTCATGGGACTGACGTCAAATGGCTACGAGGCCGGCGTCATCTGGTCATGGGACTGACGCCATCAGGTCACTGGACTGACGTCATCTCGTCACAGGGCTGACGTCATCTGGTTACGGGACCAACGTCATCTCGTCATGGGGCTCAAGTCACCAGGTCACGGGGGCCGACGTCATCAGGTCACTGGACTGACGTCATTTGGTCACGGGGCTGACGTCATCTGGCGACGGGGCCAACGGACGGGGACGGACGCCGACCGCGTTTGATGCGGTCGGCGCCGGCCAGCCGGGCAGGCCGGCTCCCGAGGGTACCGCGGCTGCCTAGTGGCCGGTCCAGCGCGATCAGCCGAACCAGCGCGGTCAGCGGATCAGCCGAAGCGGGGCGTCGCGGGGCGTGAGAGATCGCGGCCGTCACGGCCGGGTGACGGGGGGCGACACAAACAGGGGGGGGGGGGGGGGGTCCGGGGAAGCCTCGGCTCAGCGCGGCGGCTGGACGCCGCCGGACCGAGCGAGCGAGCGTGCTGCAGCGGCGGGGGCGAGGGTCACCCCGCCCCGCCGCCCCGGCCTGATCCCCGACGTTGCCACGTGCGACCACCGCCCGGAGGTACAGTCCCCTCCCTCTCCCCGCCGAGCTAGCGGTCCACTGCTGGGCACTCACGCAATCCCGCGCATGCACACGCACCGGACACATACGGACACACACACACGCATACAGACGCCGAACGCCAGCACCAGACGCGCCGGACGCGCCAGCGGGAGCGGCCCGCTGCAGTCGGGCCCTCTGTATCGCCCTCGAAGCGAAAGTCGCGCGGCGGCCACCGCGGCCCGCCCGCGACCGGAAACTGGCGCACTTCCGGCGCCAGCACCGCGCCCCGGAACCGTGACGTCACCGGCACATGATGTCGTCGGGCCATGACGTCACCCCCGTCGTGAGGTGGCCGCCACGTGGCCGCTCTGTAAACAGACGCGAGGCTGGCCTGTTAGCGGGGGCGCGGCCCCGGCCGACCGGACCGGAAGTGCCCAGTTCCGGCGCGGCGGCCGCGGCCGGCGGTGCCTCATCCCGCTGCAATACAGGACAGTCATCGAGCGGCACGCAGCGCCATCGGCCACAGACACGAGAGAGCGGAGACGGGGCAGTGCCTTCTCATCCTGTGCGGCGGCCGACGGGTTAAGTTTGGCTTCCAAATGACGCTGATAGGTGGCCTGCTGCTTCTCCCAGTCGACGCGAGAGGGCACCAGCGCCGCGGTGTCCGGCAGGAACAGAACCACCGTTTCTGTGGACTTGTCCCCCCGGCGATAGAATATCTCGGCCAACCGGTACCTGTGGACATCACCGACACTGTCGACACGCGATTGGGGCGCCCGGCCACTCACACAGCCCGTCAGCCAATCAGCAGTCAGTGACGCGAGCGCGAACCAATCAGCCGCCAGTGACAGCGACGGCCAGCCAATCACGACGCGTGCGCGAACCAATCGGCAGCCAGCGACGACGACGGTCGGCCAATCAGCAGCGGGCGCCGGGACGGCCCGCCCATCGGACACGGCTGCGCCAATCAGGAGGCGAGGTCGCGGAGGTGGGGCTCTCCCGGGGGCGGAGCCACCCTCTGGAGAAGCGAATCACGGTGTCCGCTGCTGCACCTACGCGACAGCCACTACAAAATCCACAGGCCGGTCCTCGGGGTCGCTGAAGACGAGGACACCCGAGCAGAAGTCAGCCTGCCTCTTCCTCCACCCGGGGCCTGCGCCCCTCGCCGGACCCCCATCCTCCCCTCTCCCCCTCCACCGCTGCACACCGCCTTCCCTCCTCCGCCCGTCACATCCACCACCACCGTACACCGACCAGCCAGCGTCCACACACGGCGACGCCCCAGCGCGCCAGCGCGTGCCGGCGGCCGGCCGGGCGGCGTCACGTACCACTTGGTGCACTGCGACAGATCGACGCCGGTGAGCGCGCGGCACGTGCGCACGGCCGTGCGGATCAGCACCTGCGGGTCGCCCTCCGGGTCGGCGCCGTCGCGGCTCGGCGACCACGGGCCACCGATGGCCATCGTCTCGTTCTTGCCTGCCGAGGGCCGGTCACGACAAGGTCAGCCCGTTAGCACGCCACGACAAGGTCAGCCCAATGACAAGGCGCAGAGAACGTCCGGCAGATGTCAAAAGGCGTGGAGGCGGTCACACAGTGAACACGCTGAGGGCGAGAGATGATTGGGCAGAGATGGTCTGAAAGACACGGCCAAAGGCAAAAAGGCCTGAGAGCCGTTAGTTAGCATAGCACTGAAGCCTTTTGCCTTGACAACCAGGTTTTTGGATGGCAAAGACACAAAGGTAGGCACGGTATTGGTCACGCAAGGCTGTGATGACTTGGTATGGAGATCGTCAGGCATGACTTAACGGACAATGAAACATAAGTTGGTGCACTCTGACACATGTTGGTATGATGACGTGCCGACCCGGTGTAGTGCGGCGCCTGTTAACGTACCAAGCCAGCGATCATTGAAGCAGGTCCCTGGAGTAGTGGTGCACCCGTAAGTGCACTTCGACACCCGTCAGTGCACTGCGACGCCCGCACGACACTCGCCCGCCCGCTTTGACACCTTTCGGTGTACCATGACGCTTCGCGATGCACTGTGACGCCCGTGGGTGTAAAATGACGCCCACCGAAGCCACGCGACACTGACCGCGCAGTCCGACAAGGAAGCTGATAACGCGCGAGGGGTGCACCAGGCTGTCCTCGTCCACGTCCTCCTCGGCCAGGGTTGCAGGTCTTGCGGCAGATATCCTCCCACGTGGGCGTGGTCAGCAGCATCACCTGACGCACGGCGTGGCGGGGGTCAGTGGACGGGACCGGGCACGGGTCAGAGGTGGCAGAGGAACGCGACGGGGGGGGGGGGCAGCGGGCGGGGCCGGGCACGGGTGAGAGGCGGCAGAGGGCGCGACGGAGGGGGGGGGGGGGGCAAGAGGTCGAATTATGGCGTGTGAGGACCATTACAGAGGTTGGAAGAGGGGCCATTTAGGAACAAGTAGGGGCCATCAGAGAAAATCGGCGGCTAGAGGCTGGGACAAGAGCCAGCCTCGGACGATCACACGGCTACACTGTGCCCTCTAGGACAGAGCTGAGCAGTGTACACGCATCCGGCCACCCAAGTGGAGGCTCCTTCTCGCCAACCATTCATAATCCACTTCACTTTTAAAGACGTGATCAGAGAGCACCAACCCGCCTCCGGACACAACACAGCATCACCCCTGCAGCCTGCAACCCCCTCACGTGTCGCCCAGCCGGCGACAGCCGGCGCGGCGCGCGCCACAGCCCGCGCCCGCAGACGCCGCCGCCGCCGCCGCCGCCGCCGCCGCCGGCGCCGCCTACCTTGGCGCAGAAACGGTAGTCCACGTCGGGCGGCTCGTACACGGCGGTGTTCTCGGCCACCGGGTCCACGTCCTTGCTCATCACGTGGTACGACACCGGCGAGGCCAGCTGACGTCGCCATGGCGACGGAAGGACGCGGGCGTGACGTCAGTGACGGCGTGAGCGGCGGCGGACAGGCGGTCGCGGTCCCGCACCACGGCATACGGCGCACTGACCGGCGCGCGGCGCGTGTGCAACACCACGGCTGACATGGAGACTTGTCCGCGCGCTGCGATCCTCCTCCCTACCGCGTCAATCTCTGCCAAACTATCACAGACCCGCTCCGACGAAGCACGTTATCAGGGACGATACTTGGGCATCGCGTGGTTTGCGTTCATGAACACATCGCGCCTTTTAAAGGCAAGACAGGCACCCCGACCGCAGCACTCGTCTTCTGTCGCAAGTAACGCTTATGGTCACAGCCCTAACCACCACTCGTGAAAAACGGATTAAAAACGTTGTCCCTCGGCGGGAATCGAACCCCTCACCTGTCGATCAAGCGCCCAACACCAGTCCAATCGACGATCGCTCACCTGGAATGGACGGTGCAGCGGAAACGTCTCTGCGCAGAGGAAGCGCGACAGGAAGAAGTCGGATGGCACGTACAGGTTAGTGTAGCGCTTCCTCAGGGTGAGCACAGCCGCCTCCGACCTGAGGGGAGAGGAGGGGAGGGGAGGGGGCGGGAGGTCAGACGGGCGGGCACCGGGCGGCGACGCACGAGGCGCGGCCGCACCAGCAGAGCCGCATCAACACTTCATATGGCGTGAGACGGCACGACTGCAGTTCGAAACGCACTGACATATCGTAGGCGTATATTGTATCATGTCGTGACAGACATGACATGCTAGACTAGCATCATGTTAACTCAACATCGGTAGAAACATATCAGGAACGGAAAACGCAGTACCATGAATCAACCATTGTTGTTGAGAATACATGAACACTTATTCATAAGATACTGAAAGACGTCCACCCGCTTTTACTAAGGCCGTTACACTTCACGAAGTTTGCACTCCAGCGCGCAGATACCCGCGCAATTCTCACACCCTTAACACCAAAAGCTACCTCACTAACACCGTCCCCAGCCCGCCACCCTGACGCGCCGGCGCGGCTGCCCGCCCGGCGGCGGCGGCGCGTACTCACATGTCCATGGTGACCTTGGGCACGTGGACCGAGTATCTGGGCGTGGCGCGGCCGCGGCGGCCGCGGCGACCTGGAGCGGCGCGGACTGCGGCTGCGGCGCCGCCCGCTCGAGTCGTCCCGCTCCCTGCCGGCGCCGGCGCCGGCGGGGTCAGGTCAGCGGGGGGCGGGGTCACGTCAGGTCACGGCCAGACGTCAGAAGGTCGGCCGGGGGTCGAAGCGGAGGAGCAGAAGCGCGGATGCTGCGATAGATCGGGGACAGATGCCGCGAGTCGAGGACAGACGCGACGGGTCGGAGACGAATGCACGGCTAACGCGGCCGGCTTACCACAGAAGCGCACAGTGAGCAGCCTCAGAGCCTCCAGTTACACACAGCGGTGCGCGTGCAAAGGTAACACGTCCTCCTTATGGGGGCCGTGTGCACCCGTGTGGTCGTCCTGTGATACCGCTGGCACGTGACCTCTGCGTCAGTGACATGTGAATTGTGCGTATCAGTGGCATGTGGCATGTGTGTCAGTGACGTGTGATCCGCATGTCAGCGACATGTGACCTGTGTGTCGGCGACACGTGACTTGTGTGTGTCAGTGGCGTGTGGCCTATGCGTCAGTGACATGTAACGCGTGTCCGAAGCCTCGTTCCTGTGGCACGTGAACCAACGGCACGCCTCACTGCAGCACCAGAGACCCTGTGTGCCACCCTGCTGCATGAGCACACACTCTGTGGTCAGTGGCGAGCCAGCGACCGCGAGGCACAAGCACGCAACGCTCCGGCGGCGCCGGCGAGCGGAGCCCACCTGCTGCGGCGCCGGTCCTTGTCGCGGCTGGAGCCGCGCACGCGGCGCAGCGGCGAGCGGGGCCGGCCGCTGTGCGGCAGCCGGCCCGAGTACAGGCCGCCCGCCTGCTGCGGCATCTGCTCACCTGCGGGCCACGTGGCGCGGGTCACGCGCGCGTGCGCCGAGGTCAGCGGCTGGCCGGCCACCAGTCAGCCGGCGGCCACACCAGCGGACGCCCAGGGAGGTCAACAGAGGGAGGTCAACAGAGGGAGGTCAACAGAGCAGCCCGGGTCCGCGCCGCCGGATCCCACGGGCGCGCAGCGCACCACGCCAAAAGGGCGAGTAAGTTTCACGGGTAACTGCACACTCCACACCGTGGCATTTAGCGCCACTGAAATCAGACGCCAGCGCTTCTTCAGAAAAGACGCACCTTGTGTTCAGCCACACCGGAACCCATCTCACACCTGGTAGTCGAGCACGGGCCAACCGGAGCACGAAGTCCACAGGAGCACGGAGCCCACCGGAGAAAGGAGCCCGCCAGAGCACGGAAACCACAAGAGCACAAAACCCACCGGAGCACGGAATCCACAAGAGCACGGAACCCCACCGGAGCATGGAACCCACCCGAGCACGAAGCCCATCGAAGCACGAAGCCCACCAGACCCCGGAGCGCGCCGCCGGCCGACAAGCCACTCACTGGGCGGGGGCACGGCGCTGTAGGCCGGGCCGGCGCTCTTGGCGGCCATGACCTGGGGTGGGCCGCGGGTCAGCACCGCCTGGCTGCGCACGGCGCCCATCGCGCCGCCGCCGCCGCCGCCGCCGGCGCCGCCCTGGTTCGGCAGCAGCTGGATGCGGGTAGCGTTCCACTTGAACGGCATGTTGGCGTTGTACTGGGCCTCGACCAGCACGCGCTCGCCCACCTTGGGCAGCGTGCCGCGGATGCAGCTGCCGGAATACGGGCGCAGGTCAGGTCAGGGCAGGTCAGGGCAGGGCAGGGCAGGGCAGGGCAGGGCAGGGCAGGGTAGGGCAGGGCAGGGCAGGGCAGGGCAGGGAAGGGCAGATGACAGGGCAGGGCACGGCAGAGCACGGCAGGGCAGAACAGGGCAGGGCACAGCAGGGCAGGGCAGGACAGGGCAGGGCAGGGCAGGACAGGGCAGGGCAGGGCAGGGCAGGGCAGGACAGGGCAGGGCAGGACAGGGCAGGGCACGGCAGGGCAGGGCAGGGCACGGCAGGGCAGTGCACGGCAGGGCAGGGCAGGGCAGGGGTCAGACCAAACCATCACACATGATTCAGCGCCAGGTCAGGCAAGCAGATTTGGTGTCAGATCAGGTCAGGTCACTGCACATATGATGAGACTCAAGGACAGACCGAGTCACCACGCATCCACAGCAGATTTCAGGCAATGCCAGGTCAGGTCAGGTCCGAGCAGGTCGGGTCAGGTCACGGCGCGACACACAGAGTAAGGACGTCATCACATCACGCGCGTTACGGGAAGATCACCACAGCTGCGCGAGACACGGCTTCCGCCTACTGGCCGTCCCCTCCGCCCTGTGCAGGGCTGAAGTCTCCCCTTTTTTCCCTGTCATCCCTGCTGCGACCCGTCCTGTTTGGGACGCCAGTGCTCGTTGAGAGCGGGAACAGAGCATCTCCATAGACGGCTGGTCTTGTATCTATGCTTTACCATGTAATGCATCTGATGCCGTATCCTGCAATTTCCTTGGCGATTTAAGGCTTCCTATCTCCTCCCCCCCCCCCCCCACATCCTGCTGACCAACACAACCCGCTTTCAAGCTACTGGCAAAAGGGAGGCCACCGCAACCCACTTGGTCTGGAAGAAGACGTCCTCGTCCACGAAGCCGAAGTTGTCGTGCAGCTTGGTGATGGTACCCGTGAACACTCGCTGCTTCGGCTGCTGCTGCTGCTGCTGCTGTTGCTGCTGTTGCTGCTGTTGTTGTTGCTGCTGCTGCTACCGGATGCCGCAATGACCAACAGTGTCGGCGGGAGGCGCATAATACGTCACACGCTCGGAATCAAGCGCCCGGGGCCCAGCATTCGCCGTCGTCGATGACACCGTAGCAATGTACGTGCTGTCACTGACCTGCACAGCACCTATATAAAACAGAATATACCGAAATTCAAGTTGTCAAAAAGACGATAACTTTCGTAGGGATACCCTCGCACAAACAAGAATTTGGCCGATGGCTCGGCATGCACCGATGCACGCATGGTCTGACGTCATCAGCCATCGCCGCCACCGGTGACGACCGCGGGCAATGACAGCTGCCAACGCACAGAATCGAACCCAGCCTTCCGGATCCCCATCCAGGCGCCATGACCACAGGGCTACCACGCCGTCGCCGCCTCTCGGCCGCCAGGTCGGCACACACCTGCTGCGCCTGCATCAGCTGCTGGCCGGGGTAGGCGGAGGCTGGCGGACCCAGGTTCCGGGCGGTCGGGTACGCCACTCCGGAGCCGACCGTCATCACCGGCTGTCGCACAGACAGCGGCGTCATCACCGGCTGTCGCACAGAGGGCGGCGTCATCACCGGCTGTCGCACAGAGGGCGGCGCCATCACCGACTGTCGCACAGAGGGCGGCGTCATCGCCGACTGTCACACAGACAGCGGCGTTACCACGGGCTGTCGCATAGAGAGCGGCGTCATCGCCGACTGTCGCACAGAGGGCGGCGTCATCACCGGCTGTCGCATAGAGAGCGGCGTCATCACCGACTGTCGCACAGACACAAACGTCCGATCAGCCTTCAGCACTCCCGTGGCACCGCGACTACGCCGGCCACCATAGCGAGGAACAACAGCATCGGCGAGAGTCGCACAGACAGCAACACCATCACCGGAGGTTGAAACAGGACCACAGTCATCACCGTACGTCCCACCGCACATCATCATCACCCGCTGTCACCGAGCGGCACAGTCGTCACCGGCTGGCACGCAGAGGGCGGAGAGCATCACTAGTCATTATCCGCTGTCACCGAGCGGCACAGTCGTCACCGGCTGGCACGCAGAGGGCGGAGAGCATCACTAGTCATTATCCGCTGTCACCGAGCGGCACAGTCGTCACCGGCTGGCACGCAGAGGGCGGAGAGCATCACTAGTCATTATCCGCTGTCACCGAGCGGCACAGTCGTCACCGGCTGGCACGCAGAGGGCGGAGAGCATCACCAGTCATCACCTGACGTGACGGAAGGGTGGCGTTACCGCCGCATATCCCTGGGGGAGCCGCGTGCCGTCATCACAGTCACCGCCAGCCAACGCGGGCGAGGGTGCCGCCGACGCCCGCGTCAGGGGACGGACGCCACACGGAGTGGTCGAGCGGTCCCCGACATAGCCGGCATCCTCCCCATCATCCCGCTGCATCGTCTGCTTCATCCCCTTTAAATCATCTGCATTACTCCACTCCATCATCTGAGTCATCTCCCCCATCATCTGCACCACCCCACCGCATCATCCATACCACCCCACCACATCATCTGTACTGTCCCAGCCGACGAATGCTCCCAGCTCCCAGACCAGATGAGGACCCGGCCCATCGGTGCCCATCCTCATCACCCCATGGCCTATGGCGCGGCGTGGCGCGGTGGTGGTGGCGGCGGCGGCGGCGGCGGCGGCGGCGGCGGCGGCGGCGGCGGCGGCGGCGGCCGGCGGCGGCGGCGGCGGCGGCGGCGGCGGCGGCGGCCCCCTCACCTGCGTGGTGGCCAGCGTGGTGGGCAGCGCGATGCCGGGGGCGCCGAGGCTCACCGAGCCCGCCTGCGAGAGCAGCGCCTGCTGCTGTGCCGCCTGGAACTGCAGCCCGTACGGCACCTGGCAGCGCAGTACGCCGGCACCGGCCGTTAGAGCGGGCACGGACACACTGTCAGACACTGTGCGCGTGGCTCCGACGCGGGGGAGCTGACCTATCCTGACGCAGACACACTGTCAGACACTGTAGGCGTGGCTCCGACGCGGGGGAGCTGACCTATCCTGACACAGACACACTGTCAGGGACCGTACCTGACGGCGGACACGGGCAGAGCCCGTCAGGGTGAGCACAGATAAAATGTCAAGCGCTGTATCGAGAAGAGTACGATCAAACGCTGTATCACGAAGAGTATGAGAAAATTATGAGTCAGCCCGCAAGTTGAAAAGAACGATTTGAGCTGCGTCCATTGCTCAGCTGGGCACGCCCACCCAAGAATAAAAGCGGCATCAACAGCTGACTGACAACTGACAACGACTAGCGTTGTCAGCCTCACTGCCGCGACACAACCCGCGCACGCCCCAAACGCTACATTGCCAACGCAACAACGCGACAGCTTCCACAATCCGGTCGCCTGCAAAACAACGCGCGCACAACAAGACCGCACGCGTCGCGACCGCGCGGCGCAGGGCGCGGCGCGGTCGGTCCATTTCCCGGCCGCGCCGCGACTCGAACCCACGCCCGGCCGGCGCCGACTCACCGCTCCCGGCTGCTGGATCTGCTGCTGCACCAGCATGGCTGGCGCCAGCCCGGGCTGCTGCAGCAGCGTCTGCTGGCCCAAGCTGCTGCGGCGCTGCGGGCGGCCGGCAAGCGCCAGGTCACAACGGCCGCCCGGTCAGTGATGTCGAGACACAGGCGCCAGGCGCGCCGCCCCTACCGACGGCATGGGTGTGCAGGGCCGGGCGCGGGCGGGGGCGGGAGCGGGAGCGAGAGCGAGGAGCGGGAGCGGGAGCGGAGCGGGAGCGGGAGCGGGAGCGGGAGCGGGAGCGGGAGCGGGAGCGGGAGCGGGAGCGGGAGGGAAGGGCGGCGGTCCCACCTCCGAGGAAGACGATTGACGAGCAGCGGACGTGCACGGAAAAGTGGTGTCAGGCATTGGTGTCAGAGATGGGCGTCACGGATGGGCGTCAGGGATGGGGTCAGGGATGTGCGTCAGCGATTGCGTCAGGGATGGGCGTCAGCAATGGGCGTCAGGGATGGGCGTCGGGGATGGGCGTCGGGATGGGAGTCAGGGATAGGCGTCGGGGATGGGTGTCACAGATGGACGTCACGGATGGGCGTCAGGGATGGGGTCAGGGATGTGCGTCAACGATGGTGTCAGGGATGGGCGTCAGGGATGGGCGTCAGGGATGGGCGTCGGGGATGGGCGTCGGGGATGGGAGTCAGGGATGGGCGTCGGGGATGGGCGTCAGGGATGGGCGTCAGGGATGGGCGCCAGGGATGGGCGTCAGTGATGGTGTCCGGGATGGGCGTCGGAGACGGGTACCGCCGACGGGTTCCCGAGATGGATCAGAAATCCCTCCTGTGAAAGGTCAGGGGTACATCCAGGGCATCATCTGGAGAGGCCAGTCGAACATGGGACATTTAGGGTGATGGCCGGGAAAGGCCCCGCTCGGGAAAAGGCCCGAGGAGGCCCGGTGGGCCATGGAGAGTGCTCAGCTAGCGCGAGACTCACTTTGGTAGGTGATGGGGGATGCCCGGATGGATGAATTACCGGCCTCCGAGTACACTGAAACACGGCCATACCCCATCCTGTCAGCCCGCTGAAACACGGCCACACGACGCCCTGTTAGCCCGCTGAAACACGGCCACACGCCGCTCTGTTAGCCCGTTGGAACACGGCCACATCCCATCCTGTCAGCCCGCTGAAACATGGCCACACGCCGCCCTGTTAGCCCGCTGAAACACGGCCACACGCGGTCCTGTCAGCCTGCTGAAACACGGCCACACGCGGTCCTGTCAGCCTTCTGAAACACGGCCACACGCGGTCCTGTCAGCCTGCTGAAACACGGCCACACGTCGCCCCGTTAGCTCAGCCAGCACACACACTCGAGGACGGCGACGGCAGGAATAGTCGCTGTCGGGTTGCCGCATGTGCGTATACATATATATATATATATATATATATATATATATATATATATATGTATATATATATATATATATATATATATATATATATACTTGTATCCCATTTAGGGCACTAGAGCACTGAATTTCCTGTGAGTGAGTGGGGGTTGAGGGTGATTTTGACAAAGTCTTCCATGCTTCTCTATCATGGTATTACGACGAACAAAATTTCAGGGTGGAACACTCTTCAAACATGTTTACACATGCTTCACACAAACTTTGATCAAGCAACCATCATTAACTTAGGACCATATATTACCTTTTTGCCTGTGATATTAATACAAATCGGTGTGTTCAACTGGTCTCCACATATTGAAAGACTTGAGTTTGCAAAAGCAAGAAATCAGAATACTGTGTGGTGTCATTCTTGCAAGGGGACACTACTGTCTTCCATGCCAGACTGCAAGCACACCCAACCCACCAAGCAATGTGGTTAAGGTCCATGCACCAGCCATCCAACAGCTATTTAAAATATTGTGGGCCATGCACCACAGAGCCCAAAATGGATAGCGCAGCTCCCACAACCATCACAGGTTCTCATCCTCCTGTCAACACCTCCCACAGCTGCACAGGAAGTTGCCTGACTCACTACTGATGGTACCACCTGATCACTGATCAACTGCAGAGGTAGCTGCCTGACTCACTACTGATGGTACTGCCTGATTACTGATCAGCTGCAGAGGTAGCTGCCTGACTCCCTACTGATGATACCACCTGATCACTGATCAGCTTGCAGAGGTAGCTGCCTGACTCACTACTGATGATACCACCTGATCACTGATCAGCTGCAGAGGTAGCTGCCTGGACTCACTACTGATGATACCACCTGATCATTGATCAGCTGCAGAGGTAGCTGCATGACTCACTGTTGATGGTACCACCTGATCACTGATCAACTGCAGAGGTAGCTGCCTGACTTACTACTGATGGTACCACCTGATCACTGACCAGCTGCAGAGGTAGCTGCATGACTCACTACTGATGGAACCACCTGATCACTGACCAGCAGTGCCAGTGTGAGCATGCCTACCTGGCCTCTGCAGCATGCCGGGCGTCTGAGCCCAGGGCGGCGGTCCGCTCTTGTTGCCTCCATACTGTGACATGGCTGCCGCTCACCTGCCGGAGGAGAGCACACTGTGACGATCGCACAGCAGACGGTGATTATTTGGAATTGACCAGCGCTCCAGCTGCCGCGGCCATTTCATGCTGTAGTTATGTGCAAACTGCTAAATATCATTGCCCGCACAAAACGCAGCCACAACCATATGACCATCACCTAGCCAGAAGGCCAGTAAACAGAAAAACCCAAACTTATCCACTCAATATCACTATATGCTGGTGTCTGCCAGGAAAGTATATCATATCCAGTATGACCACAGCTATCAATTGTGTTATGGCAGAAAATTCAAGCTTGGGTACTTCACCTATCAGCAACATCAGGCAGACAAAAACAACCAGCCAGGAACTGTCTCACATTGTGTGTTAGGCCTCACTCAGACTATTGCAGATTTTCCCAGTGCCTGATGGATGCCATGTGACATATGACCCTTATCTTCATAGGCTTCATGCTAGTCAGCATCCAGCACATTGTAGCCAGCGTATGCAAGATCTCTGTACTTTTGCAGTCTGTTGTTGTTGCTTTTTTTTCAACTATGAATGCTAAAGTGGAGTAGGGGACTTCACTGTATTACCTGTGCTGATTAGCATCTGTTTGCACATTTTCCATGAATGCACAACAGCCTGCACAGTTTCTAAGTGTTGAGCCATGGGGTCTAATCAGCTGAGTGTCTCACCATCAGTAGATTTCACTTGGACCCTATGCCACTGTAAAAAGAACTTTGGCATTGAGACCCTTTGTCATTTGAAATGGTATCCATGAAACCAACACATAAAAGTTGGCAGGAATTCGCCAACACTGCATGAGCTTCAACACCCTGGCCTGGGAAAAAGCTGGTGACCTGCTACCCTCCCTGACGCGAAACCATAACCTGTGCCACAATCTTGTGATATTTTTGGCCAAACTGCCTCTGGTCTGACCACTGCCAAACTGACCCACCGGTCTGTTGACCGCCAACTTCCACAGGTTTCAAAGAAGCCTATTTTCATACCCCGCATTATTGGGAAAACTCCTTTGGCTTGACATATGCTGAAATTGTTGTCATGAGCACTTCATTTTAGATATTCATATGGAGTGGGACATAACAGGAGAAGCAAAACTAAATACAACTAGAGGACTGATCAAGAACTACAAAACACAAATAATTATTGGGCACTTTTTTGGGCACAATTATTGGGCACAGTCTCAATTTGTTCACTGTTCCTGAGATAAAATATGCCAGGATAACTGACAAGATAACATACCAAGCAATTTGATATCTGAAAATTCTGTCAGATTGTGATATCAAGATCTTGGAAAGCCCACTTGATGGTGGGGAGGCATAGTTACACATTTGCAACACCCAAGCTCTCCGGACAGCTGTCATCAATAGTGATAGATCATCCAGTGTGTTGGAAAGCCATGGTCCTTCACCTATTAGACTAGTTACCAGAAAGAGGAGAAAACCATAAGCAGTTAACACTATCCAGCAAAAAAAACTTAATGTAGCTGGTGCATGCTGCCTGTGTAAATTTTTACAGGCAAAATAACACACAACTAGATTACAAGGGGAAGCATTTAGTCTGCAAAAGGTGGCACACCATTTGACAGATATTTGGGACATGTCACATCCTGCCCTAGATGGAGCAGCCACTATTTTGCTTGCGGCGGGAGGTGATAATTGTGGTGACCAGTGGGTCTCCAGGATTTTCCTCATGACCTTGCACCAACAACTACTTATCACCCCCACTGCTTTACCTGAGATGGCCAGAACCATATTAAGTTAAATATGCAACATTAGGATTGCCCCTTTACATTACCAAGTTAAGAGCATTCCAAAATGCATAGAGCATTTTACAATGCAGCAATAAAATATCCCAATTGCAGAGCCCCTCACTAATGCTGGCCCATCAGGATCTGAGCTGCTTTTTCAGCTGCTGTGAACTGTGCTTTCAGTGCTTAGTAAATGCACAGGAAGCTGGTGTGAACAAAAGGTTTTATTCTTGTGCAAGATTTGAGAGCTTTGATTTAATTGGTGGATCTCTGGCTGCAGGATTACTGTATAAGCATTCATATACATGGCTGGCCAGGATATGATGGCAATAGCAACAAAAACAACTAACATGTAGCTAAGACAGATGTGGCACATTCAGCTCTTGAACTGCTTGATTAGTGTTATTCCTTTTTTATGCACCACAATGAGCTTCCCAGACTTGCCTAATCTTTCAATAATGCAATACCTGCATCGAGGTACCTTCAGCAGCCCCCAAAATATGGTGACCCAAGCTTTTAGGGGAATTCCTGCCTCAAAATGTCTATAACCTGCCTCAAATATAAATTCTTGCCTTAGCCCTCCTCTAAGGCCGGTCCCAAAATCATGAGTTGCTCCGCCTTTAGCTCAAGAACTGCCACTTGCTTCCTAAATTTTCAAGCCACATTGAAATCTGTGAGACAGTCAGCAGAGACACATGTATGTCATATCTCTGACAATCCAACAATGGGTGACCAGGGTCCCTCACAATTAACTATCTTATAGGGAGCACTCCATATCTTCAGATGCTGAAGCATCAGATATGATAAAATAAGTTGACTCATAAAATTTGGAATACTTTTAAGTGGAGAAGGCTGCTCCAGATCATACCATTTCTTTGCAAAGCAAATGCACACTTCAATGCATCATTGCTTCATTACCCCCATCACGCCCTGTACAACATCAAGAATTAATCGACAGCTGCTTTATTACAAATTGTGCTCATGAATACTGGATATGCATGGCCCAAACATCATATTTTCTTGGCCTGCTCACTAAATGGTCAAGGTGAGAGCAAAATTTGAATTATGTTAATATGGATGTCATTTGCTAATGTTGTTATGAATACCTGGGTGACCCTGAAATAGTCAGAATTATCTGTGCATGTTCACAGGCATGAAGCTTGGAAATTAAGTCAGGGTGTTTAAAAGGGTAGGTCTGTGGGCTGCACTAAATGATCTTCAACATGGCTAATTCAGTTCCAAATTGCATATAAATGTGGAACACTCCATAAGTGTGGCACATCACGGGACATTTACCACCAGCATTTAGAGTGCAGATTCAACACTAGGAAGCCTCATTTTCCATCAAGGGCCTGGTGGTCAACTAGATATCTATTATTACGTTATCATAATTAACACTCAAAATCTCGTTCTCACGTACCGAACGCTGTCAGACTCGACAACACAAATTCCAGTGTACGTTTGATATATTTCCCACCGCCGCGCGTCTGGTCACGGTTTTTCTAGACGCCGATTGGAATCGAGCGTCAGCTGTCTAATTTCCCCAATGCTAGACGTAAATAACAGTGTCACTATTAATCTCTTTGTTGAATGGCGCCATCAATATCCTCACAACTCATAGCTGTTTTAGTATGACAGTCCTTCATGCACAAGCATTCCAGACTCCAACTGCCTCCATTCAATTTAGGAGCCTGTAGAGGCTGTTTGCATGGCTGGAGGCTTGAATGGATTGAACGTGACTGGATCTTTTAAAGTAGGTCAAAGCTTGCATGCATGATGCAGGAGCAACTTTTGCACGGCACACCGATATTCTGAGCTATGCACAAGAAGTATCGGCGGCTGGCGGCAGGCCGGTCGACCAATTACCCCAAGTTCAAGAACGGTCCTCCCTTCAGGTCAGATGCAAGATCATACAAATTGGCACAAACGTGGCGAGCGTGCACGTTTGTGAAAGCTGTAGACATGTGCCGGCTATTCTATCGCTCTGGGGTTCGTATGCACCGTTTTACAACCGGTCTGGGCGGCTGCCCTAAGCATAATAAGGGACATCCGCGCAGGTTACAGGCAAAATCGCCCAAACTCGTGAACCGTGACGCGTATGCACGCATGTGGAAATAAGGTACATGCATTGACCGCGTTATTGCTTTCGGGACTGAAATTGTGAAATTTCCATCCTCAAAGCGGTCTGAGCGACAGGCGGCCATCCGGTCGAGAGCCGCCTCAGGTCTAGTAACGCGCCTCCGTACAGAGCAGCTGTAATACTACTCAAGTGGTTCTAAACGTGACACGTGTGCTAGAGATGTGCAAACCATTCTATGTACTGAAATTCTCGTTTACAAGAAGAATATGCTGCCGTCGTCCACCTGACCGGTAATGATTCCAGATCTAGTGACACACCTCCGAGCAAATTCACAACACAATCACCAAAATAGGGAGAACCTTGATTGGTCTTACTGTGTGCAACAATGGCTGGGAGGTGTCCACCCTTTTATTGCTTTGGGTCCCGAAATTTTGCATTAATCAGACGGCCTGCGCCATGGTTTGAAAAATTTTGCGTACAATGCTTAACAATAGTAATGTGATAACATCGTCGGTCCTCCGTGCGCGGGATGCACGTAGAAAATGTGCGTGCTTCGCAATTCTTTAGTTACAAAGATTCAAGCATGAGCTGCTAAGTTTGCTCAGCTTGGCCATGTCGTCGGTGCAGGAAATCATGCTAAAGAACTATTAGCTTTGTAGCCGTGGGTATCTACCGGTGCTTCCCGCAGCGGATGTTATTCATTATTGTAAACTTGTCGTATTATTGTATCATTATAGATTCATGTACCATTGTAGGTGTCATTATTGTGTCTATCACTGTACATAGGTTTTCAAGCATGTGACTGCGTTTTCAGCAGCTTGATTCGATTGAGACACCGGCATACAATCGCACACCGGCATACATATCCGTTCCTGTGCGCCGGTGCCCATGGGCTGTCGAGCGCAGCACATAAATGCGCTAGCTGTCTCGCGTGTCGTATGCTATATCACCGGCGGCTAATTGGCCGGCAAAAATGGTGGCCAGCAGTTCGCCAATTATCTCACATATCGTGGTATGTCAAGAGCAGTTTAGCCAGGACCACCAGGTTTGAGACGCGGTGGTCTGTGATGAGCATCTCTTTTAGGCAAATGCTGTGTCAGATTTTTTGACAGATTGCTTAACTCGTCAAATATCTTTAAACGTCCTGACAGTAATCTTGACTAAATCCACTTACTGTCTGACGGATCTGATTGTGCAGCGCATAACGTCATTAACCCAGCAGCACCTGAAGTCATTCCATCCCTAGCCGTGACGGCATGGGAGTCGTAGGCGCTCCTCCCTAGTAAACTCGCAGTGCCATGGATAGTCGAGGTCGGTGTCCGCACTGACGCGCTATGCACATGTCACGTCGCACTTCATTACTTATGAGACGTCGGACCGCCACCAGTAAGTAAGTAACGATCACCAGCCAAGGTGACGTCATCCGTCAAGTCAAGTGGAGGTGACGTCACCAGCCAAAGGTGACGCCAAAAATTGCTGAAATATTTGAAACGTGTTTAAAGCTGTCATGGCCAAGACAATAATGAGCGAATAGATTTTACCCATTTGCATACCTTTAAAACGTAAGAATTGTTGAAGACAAAAACGGCCAAGCACGTGACGGTGCATAGGATCTGCGCTGCTGCGATCACTCATACCCACCTCTCGTTCTTGGTGTGGCACGCCGGCGCCCATTTTGAACACCGTCGTGTGGTGCGAGCTAACCTGCCCATCAGCATGACTTCCGAGAGGACGTTTCCAACAAATATTCCAAGCGTTGAGTGCACTTTTGCAATGAATGTCTTTTGGTAAATGTCGACTAATATGTATGACGCATCGTTGCACCGTCTCTTTTGGGACCGGTAGCTGCGCTGCATCCGATAGGACTGGTGGCTTCAGTGAAGCCAGGAATTGAGCTGGCTGCGGTGGTGTTTCCCAGCATCCTCTGGCCGAGTGAGGATTCGGGTTGAAGCGCCGCTACAGGTGGTCCCGAACTGTGTTGCTAGAACACGTGCAGACTTGAAAAGGACAAGAATCACGGGTTCTAGTAGGCGCCACGTTATTCAGACTGCACCAGCGTATCGTACAATGAAAGCCTATTGTTGGGATTGTATATTGTATCCTTCATACTAATTGCGGTTACGCTTGCCACATTGCTACTGTTGAGCTGTGTGTCACATCGTTTCATGATCGCTGCCGTTACATCGTTGTCCGGTATGATGCGCTATTAAATGGTTCTTTAAAATGATTTTTTGGGTTTTGTCCTGACTAATTTGTTGTGTGCCTAGGGCACAGTGAATATATTCAATTTCTGTGCATTGTATAGTGTAATGTTCTCAATTTTTTATTTTTCCTGCGATCCTTACGTCGCAACATGCCTTTCCATTTCCTTTACCTCGACTATCTGAACTATTCATTCTACCTATCGACTGGCGCTTCTGTAGAAGTTGCGGAAAGCTATAAGCGTGTCGTTCATTTGGTTGCCAGTGTGTTGTGCATACGCGGCATTCATACTGCTGTTAGGAAACCACATGAGCCCACCGCGTTTGGTGGTTTTCGTACAATGATATTATTCCAGTTTCGTTTATATGCTGCAGGCTGTTGAAATGTTTTGTCCGGTTCGAAATTCAACCCCCATTTGCTGCTTGCCAGAAACATGTCACACCATATTATTGCATGAAATGCCGTGCTTCATGTGGCATGACCTGTGACCTGCGATGGAGCGCTCGCTGTCAAGTCGTGTCAAAATTTTCTCAGCGTTCGTTTAGGTTGACTGCGGTCTGGGTCGTCGCTTTACTAAATTGTCGGATAAAGCTTTGAGTCAGAACTATTCCATAAAAAACGGCAGTGCATCGAACCATATCGCAGCCCGAAGTCAACGGCCGGCGAGCTAACAGCCAGCTGAGTGCAGCGTGCCAGCGCCAAGACGTTGACGTCCAGTATAGTGCGCTACTTGTCGATGGCACCATCGAGGAGACCGCCTGCAAAATTGAGGTCAGCGTTGTTAACGCAGACGTCGGCGCCGCCGAACTGCTTGGCGATAGCACGGAACATGACCTCAGTCTCCTCCGACTTGGTCAGGTCACAGTGCATCGCTGTCAGGGAGCCGGAGCAATCTGTCAGCTCAGCAGCCAGCTCCTGAAAATGTTCGGTTAAAAAAATGACATCAAAGGCGAGATGATGGCATCAAAAACGAGGTAATGACATCAAAAACGAGAAAATGACACCAAAAACAAGATAATGACATTAAAAGCGGGGTGGGGCCGGCTTTCATTAAATATCACGCGCAATTTTCAAGCTTCATCATTGCAAGCAACATGTTTAACATTCAAAAATGCATTTGATAATCAGCGTTAGATCCCGCAGAGCTCCCGAACAACGGAAATAGAGCTATCGGCGTGGCCTTTCGTCTACTCACGACACATCAACCCTGTGACTGAAGATAAGTCGTAATGCGGTTGCATGCTGCTGATGTGAGTCTTTAATGAAGTGCATGTTACGCCGTGACAATTCCCCGATAATTTTGTTCAGCACAAATCGCTGCCAAATAGTATGAAGTGATTGAAACGTAGAAGCCGTTATCCTTTTACGCACATCAATTCCACTAATATTTGGTTACTCTGATCCCTTTAACCATTACGTGGGTTTCACTCATTAACGGTCTGTTCTAAGTATATGCATAGTTTTTCCAGGCATGACCCACCTCGATCCGTTTTTTTTTAATTCCTGGTGCATCTGACCACCGCCATTCCGTGATGCACAAGCTCTCGACAGATGGCAGCACCGAAGCCGGCGCCGGCACCAATTACCAGCGCGACTCTGCCTGTCCAGCGGTCCATGGCAGGTTAGCTTCAGTTCACATTGCGAACGCGATCACCTGTTTCCTGCCATATAGGATTAGGACGCTACCATCTGTGTGACATTTTCACTTGGGTCAGCCTTAGTTGGGTAAGACATGTCAGTCAATATTCATTACAACCGAGCTGTTAGGGCTGGAAGAATTTAAACAATTCCTTGTTGATCACCTTATTGATATTGAAAATGAGCCAGAACCTGATGCTATTGTACATCAAATTGTGTATGTTTACAATGCGGGGATCACCAGGTTTTCTCACACAAGGCACAGTTCTCGAAAAAACCAGCTCGCTCAAACCATGGGTGGCACCTGCACTTCTCCTATCAATTACACATAAAAGTAAGCTATTCGAATATAAATTGAAGCACCCCAGCCCCAAAAGCATGCAAAATACACTTCTTACCGTAACATTCTAACTACATCTCTTACACTAGCCAAAAAGAAATACTACAGTGATGAATTCACTAAACATTCTGGCAACTCCAAGTAAACATGGAAAACATTACACACTCCTATCAATTCAAAACAAAAAAGGATGCAGATCCAACCGGGATTATTAAGGCTAATGATAAAATTATCACAGACGATCCGGATATCGCAGAATCATTTAACCGCGTCCTCATTGAGATTGGACAACAGTTAAAAGACAAGATTCCTAAATCATCATTCGACCCCCTTCAGCTCATCACAAAGGTAGAAAATGAAAGGGATCTGCCCCCCACGAATGAACAGGAACTAATGCTTGTCAACAATGGGCTAAACAACATCGGAGGTGGAGTCGACAATATTAATTCAAAAATATTCAAGTTATCTTATGGGGTAATACTCAAGGCAATTATCCATCTTTTCAACAGCTGTTTGTTCTCGGGGATATTTCCAGGCATTTTAAAAAAGCCGTGATTAAACCCATCTCTAAAAGTGGGGACTCGCAATTTGTAAATGATTACAGACCTGTCAGTATATTGCCGTATATGTCCGAAATTCTTGAGAAACTTATACACAATAGACTCGTCCTTCATCTAAACCAAACCACCTAATTCATCAAAATCGGTTCGGATTTCAGAAGAACAAAAGTACTTACATGCCAATTCTTCCTCTCCAGCAAACCATCACTAAGGCTTTTGAAAACGGAGAATAAGTGTTAGGTTTGTATTTAGATTTGAAAAAGCCCTTGACACCGAAAACATAAATATTCTTCTACATAAACTTACTAAACATGGTATTGGACGAAAATCTCATGAAATCATATGTTCTTATTTGTCTGGTAGAACTCACTGTGTAAAAATTAGGAATTATCTATCAACAATCAAAAACGAAACAATGGGGGTATCCAAGGATCCATTATCGGCCAAATTCTCTTTTTAATGTACATAAATGACCTGCCTAAATTAAGCAGTAACATAATAAGTCTGTCTTACGCTGATGATACTGCGATTACTTAAACAATATAAGTATTGTTGAAATTCAATACAATGCCAATACGCTTTTGCTTCTAATGACTTACTGGTTTACTGCTAGTTTTCTTTCCCTGAACGTACCAAAAGCATTTACACAGCGTTACACTACTCTGTCTTCGCATTTCCAACTGAATGTGCAAATTAATAATTCACCTACTGAAGAAAAAAATCAAATACCTTGGTGAAATCATTTACAAATCTCTTAAATTTGCAAGCCACATTAATTTTGTTGCAAGCATAGTAAGTAGAAATATTGGAATAATAAGTAGGGTTAGGTACTTTATTGATAGAACAACGTCACATCTACTCACAACACTTTGATTCTTCTTTATTTAAATTACTGCTGCTTGATTCGGGGTATAAATTATGCTTCTCAACTAGATCGGCTAGTAATTTTGCAAAAAGGGCTGCGCGTCTTATAGAAAATGTGTATCCCCACAAAGCTCAGAGCCAATCTTTAAACGATACAAAATTTTGAAACTATCGGAAATCGCTAAATCCCAAATGTTAATTGTGATGCACAATTTGTAACTTTACAGCTCCCTGTATCAGTCGATTTAATATACAAGCTCTACAAATCTAATGACATGGATATGAGGCGATTAAAACATTTAGACCAACTTTTCTCTAATCGTAATTATAGACTGTTTACAGCATCTTGCCTCGGCCCTAAGCTGTGGAAGGACATTATGGTTTCATATTTTCCAAGAATAAGTGATATCTCTGTATCAAAAAACCATCGCTAAGAACATCATCCGTAAGCATTTCGCGAGTACATGTTAACGTAACCAGCATATTTGAAGATATTGCAATCCTTTGCGCTGCACATATCCAACGCACTTCATGTTAGACTTCCTTCATGTTCCATAATCAAGTTCTGATGTAGTTAAAGTCAGGAACATGCACCCAAATTCACGGCGCTGGCTCCTGGAGTTCTCCCAGGAACAAGCTCCGCTTGGCTGGGTGGACTCCCTGAACATCCAGCTCAAAACCCAGCACGAAAATAACCAGGTAAATGCCCCCCCCCCCCCCCCGACTTGTGACTGTACAACCCTTACTAACACGGCGAATTGAGTGGTTGTAGCTTACTGGGCGGTTATAGCGACACTGCATTTGTAACGCGCGTTAGACTTAACCCTCGCAGTCTGCCACACTCACCAAAGAGCCCGTGTCTCTCAGCTCACTGTGAACGCGCGTGGGTCCTTACCTTGCTCGTGATCTGCTGTGTTGCTGACGCTCGGATCTGCCGTCGCGAAGGTACCACCGGCGAGCTAAGCGCGCGCCTTGCGTCTGACCCGCGTGCCCCCGGCCGGGTGGTTCGAGAGCGTGGTGCGGCAGTGGCGGCGGACAAACTGCACCGCAGTCGCGTCGCTCGGCTCGATAAGTGCGGGTCACTCGAATAATCGCTCGCTTAAGTTGAAACACACGTGTTCAAAAAAATTCGTTCTGCTGGAAACAGATTTATTTTGAATAACATATTAGGCTCTTCCACTAGAACTGTTATTTAGCCTCCACCAAATGACCTTTATCCGTAACTTTGATAGGAGGCGGGTATTGGAAGCGGCTTCGGCAAGCGATCGTTACAATTGAAACTGTTATTTCCATCTCTTTCCGTGGAGTATCGCGATATCAATACCTTGCGAAGTGCACGTCCATCCGGCCGTTCATCGTGCACAGATGTAAATGCGGCTCACCGACGATGCCACCTGGCTACGTGAAATTCGGCTAGCGGTTAGAACAGCAAATTTGGATCACGGCAATACATTTATGACCGGAGCCGACCGGTGGAGCGGCGTCAGTGCATTCAAAGGCGTCCCATTGATTAAAACATGCGGTCGACCCGGGAGGCAAGTTCACTTCTTCCCCCAGGATCTCTAACTTCCAGACGCTGTTTAAAAAACTAAAGACACTTTTGTGAAGGTCTTGCCAAATCGTGAAAAAATGCTCACAAACTCTTCGATCTTAGGTTAAATTTGAGGTTACTGGAGACTACGAAAGGCAAAAAAAACGGTCGTTTTGATAGATGCAGTTAAAATATATGTTAACACCCACGTCATCAGCTTCAAAAACATAATAAGGACGTGGTCACACGCATCGCACTCGTTCATCTAGCCTCTCCGCTACTGAAAACATAGGTCATTGATCTTTCACGACGCCATATGACCTTGCATGACCTAGCGTGACCTATTGTGACCTTATTGTGTCTTGGAATGATATCTGTTTCCAGCGGAGAAATCAAGTCTTGTGTCCACAAGTACCGAATTTAACTGCCTATCTTGAGTTCAGCATGTGTTTTGCAGAGCGTACCCATAGGGGTAGGTCATGACCTGGACCGAGGGCATGTGATGTGCGGTCACATGATTATGCATGTGAGTTAGTAGTCCTTTCTCTCACATACTGTCAGACAAACTACACACAGTGATTTACATTATTTATGAAAGCTAGCAAAAATTGGTTTTACACCAGCTCAGCGCTCTTGCAGTTTCCGAAAAGTCTGAGAGATACAAACTGTAGCCACTATTATTATCTATTTCTGTAGCAAGTTTGAACAATGACATTTGACGCAGACAAAAGTTGTGCGATGAAGTATTAAGAGATATACCTCTTTGAAAACGTGTGGCGGGAAACTGTGTGTCGTAGGGAATGTTTTGATGCAGATCAGAACGGACGCTTGTACACGCAAGTGTCAATCAATGCGCCGCGGGGTGTGCGCGCACTCATGCGCTGACAGGAGATTCTACAGCTCCGGAGCTTGTTCAGGACTGATGTCGTTTCTCGGCGACCCGAGCAGATAACGACGTGAAACCAACCGCACCGAGCAGATAACGACGTGAAACCAACCGCACCGAGCAGGTGCATGTATTGTCTCCAAATTACCCAAACACAGGCGTAGCCGGTCTTGATAACGAACGGGAGGAGGGCACGGCTGGTCAAGCCCCGCTGATGGTTAAATGCCCCCCCCCCCCCCCTCCCTCTCTCTCGTCGCCCACAACATCGCCGAATATGCCCTCCTTGAATTCAAGGAGCAAGGAGTTGCTTCGTGCCTTTATTTGCTGCACGTTTTAAGCTTAAGGCTTAAACCGTTACTGACACATCACGCATTACGCGCAGCAAGTGGAAAGTTTAGCCATTTCTTTTCACAGCGCACGCCTCTGCGCACCTGAACCCATATGTGTTCAGGTGCGTAGGACGCATCCGAACGCCCGTGCGACCGCATGCCGCTGTCTCAGCCGAATTTCTTCTGCCCCGTGCTGTCACGGCCTTCGGCCGCCGAGCGAGCAGGCGCACGCTTGCGGAGTAGATCTCCTGCGCGGAGGACCTTCAGCGGAAACACACCGAGCGAGCAGGTGCGCGCTTGCGGAGTAGATCTCCTGCGCGGAGGACCTTCAGCATAAAACACACCGAGCAAGCAGCCACGCGCTTGCGGAGTAGATCTCCCGCGCGTAGGACTTTCAGCGGAAACGCATCGAGCGAGCAGCCACGAGCTTGCGGAATAGATCTCCTGCGCGGAGGACCTTCAGCGGAAACACACCGAGCGAGCAGGCACGCGCTTGCGGAATAGATCTCCTGCGCGGAGGACCTTCAGCAGAAACCCACGATTATTCAGCCAATTCATCGTCAGCGGCAGTGCGGTGAGCGGGCTCGGCCTTTTCCACCGGCAAAATTTACAAATTTGCGATTTGTGGTCAGTTCGAGATAGGTCTCAAAAAGCACGACGTTGGTCGCCGCACGATCATTTGCTGACGTCTCTATGGGTCGGACAGTGTTGGGCAGCATGGGTGGTTTGTACACGGTGCATGCGCCTGCACCATGCAGTTGGTCTCATAGCGTGATGTCCATGGTCTGCCAATATCTGACATTAATCCTTTAAAATGTCCGGGAATGCCTTGCCCTTGTTTTTTTTAGCGATCGCAGCTGGGCCGTGCGCATGCAATAACCAGGGCTTTTGTCAGCGCAGTAATCCGTTCTTTGGCGAGCCAAAATGTGCTAATTTCGCCTTGTTCAAATGTGTCGGATATATAGCCTCCGACAGTTATGTGTCACGTTGCTTTAGGTGTATTTCCGACGGCGAATTTACCTAATGTGACCAGCGGAAACCAGGCAGTGTGTGAAAATTCAAGCATTGGAACGAGTATTTTTAAGATAAGTAGGTGTGCAAAGGTGTTTATTAAATTTGTGCCTGGATTGCGCTCGTCACAGTAGATTAAGTTGCTATCGATGTGATAATGTCACACTGTTCACCGCCATTACTCACCACTTGGCAACCAAATCGCGTTCAAATATGAGAGATGCGAGAGTAAGGTACCGTTTTATCTGTTCTGGAGAGGGTGGCAATGGCCATCTTGCGTTTGAATTTTCCTCACATTGCATATTTCTGCAGCTGCGACCCCATGACCACACCGACTACCTAAATAGTTTCTTACAGCTCTCTGTTTGCGTGGAGTTATGCGTTCAGAGGAACTAAATGCCAAGTTGTACCGACGATAAAAAGGTCCTTAGTGTCTGCATTGGCCCTCCCAGTTTTGCAATTGTCCTGAACGCCCGAAAAGACGGGCAAACCTACTCCCGCCTGGGTCGAGCAAGAGTTGGGAAGCTAAAAGGTTAAACCCCAAGTTTTTTAATAGTTTTTGAACGGTTCCAGATTGGTTCATACAACTCCAGAATCGATTAAAGGGAATGTTTCGCATTTGAAGATTTTCGAGCAAACATCATATATGATGAAACAAGAGATAAACACATAACGACATCTGGCCAATAGACACAAGGACTCATCAAGGTTGGCCTTCCTCAGGTTCCGCACACATCCTTGAAGCTAATCTAACACCTGACCAGCATGAATTTAGATGTAAATGAGATCTTCAGACCGGCAGAGCTTGACCAAACGGTTTTTTTAATGTTGCTGGAGGGGGACTTTCTACATTTTCGTTGTTCATCCCATTCCGTCGCTTCACTACTCTTTGACTAAATGGCATCTCCCTCTTCATAGTTCTACTCCCACCTTTTTATAAATGAAACTCATCCCTCTATTTCTTGGCTAAATTTCCAGTGCCCAATGTAAATCTATCTTGTCTATCTGCATACCTTTATCAGATCCCCTGTAAGTTTATGGTGTTTCAGTGAATACAACTCCAAGGTCCCAAGCCTACTCTTATGTTCTAAGTGGCCAGTCCCATTTTCAGCCCAGTTGCTTTTCGCAGCACTCTTTCCATTCGATGTATATATTTTTGAAAGCATTGAGGTCTCGCCTGTACACAATGCTCTAGACTTGGTCTGACATCAGCTAAGTGCAAATTTTTGACAAGGTGACTTGCCGTTATTGGAATACTTTTTATGTGAAAAACTGTTCTAGACAACACAGTTTTCTGTTTAGTGAGTAGGCTTCTCAGTGCGCCATGGTTGGATTACGTCATCGCACCTTGTGAAACAGGACCAATGAGGGCCAATGAATGGCCGCTACATCTTGAAAAAGCACTCACCAACGTCAGATATTGACACCTCGACAATGGTTTTCCTTAGCGTTGATCACTGCATGGCTTATGAAATATCAGGATTTTTAATGACGTTATTATGACGTCGTGAATACCAAGGTGACTGAAATACTCTCCCCGGTGTACCTTTGCACATTGTCGCGGGCGTCAAGCTCAGAAACTGGAGGTGCTTAGGTCTTAAGAAGAGCGGGATTTTGAAAAGCACCGAAAGGTCTTCAAAATGGCTATTTCATTTAAAACCCCATATAAATGTGGAACACTTCCTTCAACAACAATAAGCCTAGGCGGCGTGTAGTTTCCTACTCACTTGGCGAAGGGTGACTGTACCTCTTAACCAGGGATGTAGTTTCCTATGCTTAATTATCATTTTATCGATCATTTTTCATTTAACTTAACTGTTTACGGCGGCCGCACATGGTACTCCCCTCTGGATTCGCCCATAGAATTGGGTATTGATGAATAACAATTCAGACCTAAACATGAAGGTCCAAGCTGAAAGTAAAGTAGTTCAATATCGCCCAGTTCAATAATGCGTAGGTACGTACCTGGACAGTCCGACAATCATTGCAAATCGTCACATGGGTGTGAACCTCACTGCTGATGCGCCGCCGAGGTCATCCACTCGACCCTGTCCCTGAAATTCTGCGACAGATCATTGACCTGTCACAGCTTCAGGCACCAGCACACCATGCTAAAATGCGTCCCAGCTTATGTTCATCCCGGCCGTTTTGTCGGGTTACACTGCCGTACGCTCCGAAACGGTGCCTTCCGAGCACACGCTGTGAGGATCTATTCTTCTTCGTTTACCTATCGCAGACCGGGGTGAGCCCTCACAAATCACCAGTCAATATGACCCATGGACGCGGCAGTGGGTTACACCGCATCCGCCTTCGTGGCGAGCAGCAGACCGGACCTGTATGGGGTCCACGCGCCCGGTCACGTGCTCTGTCCCGGAGGGGGCTGGAGGCTGCCGTTCGTGCCGCCCAGCTCGGCCGGATCGATGGGAGCGACATCTGTATCAGTACCTACCGCAGGTCTGAGGGGCCGGCAGTGTGTTCCGCTCGGCATGCGGTGTGCCCGTGCGCAGAACTGTCAGCAAGACCCCAACAAGACACATCAAAGCTTGTTTCTTCTGCTGCATTTGTCTTGCATTTGGCTTGTCTGGTGCACGTATCCTCAGAGCTCGAACGCCGATTCAGTTCGGCGCTGGAATGCGAATCGAAACTACTTGCTTCACCTTGGAATGATGTATTCACACTCCATAATCATCGTTCAAATATCAACGGTGGAAGACATGCTGTGCCTGTGACCACGGCAGGTTGTACGGTAAGGCATCACGCTTATTTCACAAGCCGTCGCACGAACACTAGCTTTCCTGTGCATAACTGCAAACATTCGATTAAAAAAGCAGGCAAACCGAATCCAAAAGCCGCAGCCTTCCTCTGCAAATGACTACTGGCGTTTGAGTGACGTTGTCAGAGCTCTCAGAAAAAACCCGCGTGTGCAAAATCAAGCACGAACACACCTATCGCTACCTCTCGGCCAGAGTGGTCGGGCGTGGCGCGAATCTCTCGTGGTCATCACTGCGCCACACGGCGCTGGAGAACCGACCATGGCCGGAGATCAGCAGCATCAGTAGCCGGCCATGACCGGAGATCAGCGTTCGGCCATAGCAACAGATCAGCGGCCGGCCATAGCAACAGATCAGCGGCCGGCCATAGCAGCGGATCAGCGGCCGGCCATAGCAGCGGATCAACAGCCGGCCATGGCCGCGGATCAGCGGCCGGCCATGGCCGCGGATCAGCGGCCAGCCATGGCCGCAGATCAGCGGCCGGCCATAGCAGCGGATCAGCGGCCGGCCATAGCAGCGGATCAACAGCCGGGCATGGCCGCAGATCAGCGGCCGGCCATAGCAGCGGATCAGCGGCAGGGCAGCAGCCGCGGCGCCGTCTCCTGACCTCGCACCGCCGAGGCCGCGGCGCCCGCCACTGCCCGGCCAGACAGTGGCGGGGAAGCCGTGCCGCCCCTCGGGCCGGAATCGCGCCATCGGTGTCGGGGTTCAGCTTGGGGCAGTGCGCGGCGAGAGCCACGCGCTGATGTTCTAGCCTGACCCGACACGCCCGCTTGACAACCGCTCAAGGCAGAGAACACTACGACAGGAGACCGCACATCACTGCCGACCTCCTCCAGCCCAGTACACACTCAACCCGGTGTAAATAGCATAAGTGCTTGCTAGCCTACCACACATACTGCCGTCAGCGCACACTGGCGGAAAACAGTGGACGCCAGTGACCTGGACGCGGAGCAGCGAGCGATTCGATATCTTTGGTGTGCTGTACGCAGGTGTGAGCGTCTTGCCAGCGGCCGCGTCTGGTCCCCTCTTGCAGCATGAGATCGGGGCCCCCGCGCCACCACCAGCTAGAGCCAGCCCTATCCCGATCCGTGTGGACTGGACTGATTCAGATCCGTGTGGACCGGACCTATTCAGATCCGTGTGGACAGGACCTATCCAGATCCGTGTGGACCGGACTGATCCAGATCCGTGTGGATCGGACTGATCCAGATCCGTGTGGATCGGACTGATCCAGATCCGTGTGGACCGGACCTATCCAGATCCGTGTGGATCGGACTGGCCCGCGGTCCGACCGCGGCCGGAGCACTGCTGACTAGCGCTGTCGCCTAGTCTGATCTTGCGAGGGCTGCGCGGGTGCCAGCTGCGCATTCGGCTGCGCAGCGCTGTCTCAGACGCCGACTGCGCCGACACTGACCGCGCAGACACCCACTGCGCAGACGGCTGATCTCCCTCAGTCAGGCTGGCGCCGCCACACTGCTGTACGAAAAACGAGCACCTGAAACGAGGAGACTCCAGTTATCCAAAAATGAAGCTTGCGTTTCTTAACTGCCCTCACGAGTCAAAGATCTCGGTTTTTGAGTTTTACAGCATCTCAACTTGCGGCATCAACAATACGTCGGTTGGATGCAGTGCGCCCTGCGGCTCGTAATGTAAATGGTGTTCATCTTTCAACTCTGAACTATGCCAGCATCGGGGAGGCGGCCAATGACGCCAGCCAGCAACTTGGCGTGTCTTCCATTTTTGGCGCATGTTCCTTCCTTTCTTAATACTTTTTAAGCCGGCCATTCCGGTGAGCAGCCAGCTGGCCACCTCCTGCGCTTGGCACCGTGGGTGATGCGCGGAAAGACAGTTCACACTGCGGATACATTTGGATGTGTTTATGCCATGAAGGGCGAAATTCGTCATCACTGATGCCGAGGTCATCGCACGAGGCGTGACCCGGCTAAGAGCGCCGCCATCGCCCTCGCCACACAAAACGAGCAGTGACGAAACCGAGACCCGTCTGTCCTGCAAACGACCCCCCGGCACCGCACGCCACCATCGTGTATATCTGTGTATTATATATATATATATATATATATATATATATATATATATATATATATATATATGTGTGTGTGTGTGTGTGTGTGTGTGTGTGTGCGTGTGTGTGTGTGTGTGTGTGTGTGTGTGTGTGTGTGTTATGTGCGTTCTGTGGGTGTCAGCGGGTAAACGTGCAGGCCAGAGACGGTTGCGCCTTCCTCGGAAGACCACTCACGGGTGTCACTTGCTCAGCAGGCCGCCGGGGGAGCTGTAGCTGTAGCCGTAGGCGGCGTGCTGCGGGTACGCGTAGTGGGAGCCGTAGTCGGCCATGGAGACGGGCCCTGCAGACAGACGAGGGCGCACCCGGTCAGCCGTTGGACGGCAAGGTCAGGGCAGATCAAGGTCAAGGTCAGCTGGTCCCGCCCCAAGCGACCACCACGATTTGGCTGCGTCGCCCTGCTGGCGGCACTGAATGACGTCAGAACGATGCATTTTCGCGCCAACCGGACGGCAGCCGCCGTGTTCTGCGGTGCATGCTAGAATACCAGCCGGAAATTTATCCTGATAGCCTGTGACGCGCTAGTCAAGGTGGGCCAGTGACTTTCCACTATCAGTAACGGCGAGACAGCGTTCGTTGCACATAATGGTCCACTGGAAGGGCTCATTAAGGTGACCTAACACCGACGACCAACCGCCACACGCCAGATTTGTACAGTTTCTGGGACTAATATTGGAGCACGACGCACACATAACGCATGCCGTTCAGCTAACGGGTTCATTCGTGCAGCATCACAGTCATACCGGGTCACGCATGCTTCATTCCATGCAAGACAAGTGTCCAAAAGACCCTGGTGCTGACTTAAGAAGCGGAGCCTCGCGTTCGCCCCTGCTGCGCCACTCACCGTCCCGCTCCGTGTCCCCGTCGACTGACGACGTCATCCTGACGTCACGCGGCGCGGGGTCAGCGCGCGGTGCGAGCACGGGTCGGGAGAAGGTGAGCACAGGAAGGCCTACGTCACCGGGCAGAGGACCAGGGGAGAGGGAGGCGCCGGGAGAGCGGCATGACAGCGGCGCCACCAGCCGCAGCACTCCCGTGACGTCACTGGCTTTCGCACCAATGACGTCATCGGTCGGCGCGGCGCGCGGGCTGCAGAAGGGATGGGAGGCTGAACACAAGGAGGTCTCCCAGCGAGGGGTGCTGTCGGGGCTCGCCGGCAGACGGCTGTCATCTGGCTGGGCAGTGCCCATTGACTGAAGGGTGCACACTGGGTGCTGGATCCCAGCTGGCGAATGGGTGTTTAGTGGGAAGCGGTCAACGGACGCAGGAGGCGTGAGCGTCAGGAACGAAGCACTGACATCCAGTGGAGGGGACGGCGAGAGTCGGACGTACCCACAGGTACTGCCATCTGTAGGGAGTGCAGAGAAACAGTGCTTTCAGTGCTTGTCGATGAGGAAATGCTTGGACAGGCACCTTATAAATCTAAACAGCTTGTCGAATGCTCAGAACCGTGGTTCATTAAAATGATGGCACGTGCAACTGACGCTGCGCTCACAAAGATGCAAATAATCCAAAAGAGGTCATGATTGCAAGAGCAATTTTTCCCGACAAACAACTCGGTTAACGGTATTAATTGCTTTGAACAGCTAGGTATGCATTGTCATGGTTGCAGGAACAGGGGAGGGGGTGGATGCCAAGGCACCAAGCCTTTGGAGACGCTCATTTGTCAATGCGAACCGTAAATTAATTTCGAATGAAACAATGACTTCTGCCGTTGCATAATCACCCTGTGTTGTGCTAAGCGAATTAAATTTGTCGTTTGCCATTGCACGTGACTTCTGAAACTGGTTTTTGCTCGTCTTGTCATTAGCAGATGTATGCATAGGTCTTGTGCCGTTTGGTTCTTTAACTATTTTAACCCACATCTTTTGATCGAATAGATTCTTGGGACCCGCCCTCACACTTCTTGTGTGAGCCCTGGCCCTGCCACACATATGCTCTATCGACCACGCTTTATTCATTCATCTATCGAATTCAGGCGATATGTCTTGCACAGAGCGTACCTATTTTTCAGAACGAGCAGAGAATTGTGATGCCTACGAGCAGGTTTTCAATCCCCCGAAAGATTTTGCCGTTCTTGCGCTTTGTCTTTGGCAGTAGCGCTATAAGCTAAAATGACTGAAATATGGCAATGCTGCAACCTACAAACGTCAAGACAACATTCCTGGTAAAATGGGAGGCACTAAACGGATCAGGGCAACATGCCGAAGATTCTTCTTCACTTAAACCCCAAATATGTTTCTTTGGTTGCCCCAACCATGTTCAGCCTTCCTCTCGGCACGCGTCCTTAAGCTGGTGCAGTGTGCCATGCGGTGCTTTTCCCCGCCAGTCATGCTCAGTGCAGAACACAGACCCATCTAGCGGCAACCTACCCTGCTGGTAGTTTTCCAGGCCGTCCGGTAGAGGCGCTGCTGAGGCCTAATGTCGGTTTGGTGTCGGCGAGCGAGATCGGCGCCAGAGGAGTGAGGCCAGCAGGCGTACCTGGGCAGATAGCATCATCAGCGTATGAGAACAGGTTTGAGAGCACACGCAGAGTGAGCTTACAAACCCCGGAGCAAAAAAACACACGCACAAAGGGAGTTAAACAAAACCCCTAGGCAAGAGCACACGCAGAGTGAGCTTAACAAGCCCCGGAGCAAAAAACACACGCACAAAGGGAGTTAAACAAAACCCCCTAGGCAAGAGCACACGCAGAGAGAGCTTGACAAGCCCCGGAGCAAAAAAATACACACACAAAGGGAGCTAAACAAAATCCTCTAGGCAAGAGCACACGCACAGAGTGGACTAAACAAGTCCCCAGGGCAAGAGAACACTCAGAGTGAATTAAACAAACCCTCCAAGCGGTAGCCCCGCGCACAGAGTGAACCAGACAAGCCCTCAGAGCAAGAGCACACGCGTAGAGTGAGCTAAACAAGCCTTCGTAGCAAGAGCACAGGCACAGAGTGAGCTGAGCACACCCCCGAGCAAGAGCACACGCACAGGGTGAACCAAACAAGCCCTCGGGGCATTGTGAGATCCAATCCGAAAATGAAGCATGTATTGTGAACGCCCTTTGGCATCTTTCAAAATTTACGAAAGCATAGCAGCCCTGCGGCGACAAGGCTACCAGTACGGAGACCAAGCCATTTTAGTGACCCTGCGGCGGCTGACACTGACCTAGCGCGGAGGTCAGGCCCTGGGGGTAGCCCTGCGGCGGCTGGTGCAGGCCGAGGTCATACGGCGCCTCCAGGGGCGAGGGCAACCCTGGCGCGGCCCCGAAAGTCGGCTGCTCGCCGCCGAAGCTGAAGCCGATGCCGGACCGGCGATGTCGGACAGCGAGCCTGTCTTGGCGGCCTCGTCCTTCACCCACGGCTTCGGCCATGGCAGCTGCAGGGACGGCAGAGCAGCGTAAGACTCAGAGAGGTGAGCGAGGCTACCTTAGCTACTGACAGAGGAGGGCGAGGCTACCGCCAGCACCACCACCAACTGCATCACGAACGTCTGGGAAGAAATGACACTGGATAACGAAAGTAAATTCGGGATATCGTCCTCGTTGGTCACGTGGTGTGTTTGTACCCATACGTGCTACTATGAACACTGTATGCGTACCAGCATACCAAACGAAGACGCTGTTCCGAACGATCACTCCATCCGCAATCTGAATGTCAAATATCAGTCATTCGTTACAACTGCAAGATGAATGCCATTGGCTACCCAATTGTCGTGGCCTGTATTGCTCGTCGCATTGCTGGTCGCAACACAGCTCGCAACGTACGAGATAATGGTGTGGGGGGGGGGGGAGAAGCGCCAAGAAGAGGATGGAGCAATCGACATCAGCTGGCCGCATGAGGACCCGCAGCTCATTTTTATGTTTGTCCTCAATCCAATGCGAACACACGGCGCATTGAACGGCGCCCGCACACATGTGCTTGCAACCTCATGAGAGGACGTAACATCCATGACTTTCTCTCGTAATCATCGGCCGGCTAAACATTTGGGCGGCGGGGAGGACAGGCGCTGGGCCAGGAAGAGGAAGCGCTGACGTCAGCTGACAGCCGACCCCATCAGCAACAGGCTGTCCGGTGTCCCTGGTGGCCGGCCGGTCACTCTGGTTCACCGAGTCAGCTCAGCGTCGGACCCGGCCCTTCCCGTCCGGTCCGGTCCGGTCCGGTCCGGTCCGGTCCGGTCCGGTTTGGTTCGGTTCGGTTCTGTTCAGTCCGGTTCGGTTGGGTTGGGTTGGGTTGGGTTGGGTTGGGTTGGGTTGGGTTCGGTTCGGTTCGGTTCGGTTCGGCGTCGGGTCCGGTCCGGTCGGGTCCGCTGCAGTGAGGTGCGGTGCGGTTCGGTCACTTACGCCTGAGTAGTTGAGCTGGTCGGCCGGGTACTGTAGCCGCTGGCGGCGCATCTCCTCCTCGGCCGGCGACGCCAGGTCACGAACGTCTGCAGCACCGGCAAGGTCAGGTCAGGGCCACTAACACTTTAGGTTAGCCATAACACCGGCAGGGTCAAGTCAGGTTGCAAACACCTGAGGCTAACCGTGGCACCGGCAAGGTCAGGGTAGGTCGCAAACGTCTGCAGCACTGGCAAGGTCAGATCAGGTCACAAACGTCGGCAGCACCGGCAGGGTCGTGTCAGATCACGAGCGTCTGTAGCACCGGCAGGGTCAGGTCAGGTCACAAACGTCTGCAGCGTTAGCAAGGTCAGATCAGGTCACAAACGTCTGCAGCACCGGCAGGGTCAGGTCAGGTCACAAACATCTGCAGCACCGGCAAGGTCAGGTCGGGTCACAAACGTCTGCAGCATTGGCAAGGTCAGGTCAGGTCAAAAACGTCTGCAGCACTGTCAGGGTCAGGTCAGGTCACAAACGTCTGAGGCTAGCCCTGACACGTTAGTTCAGAGCGAACTACAGTGACAGGTTACACCAGCATAGACCAGAGGCCACCGGCCCAGAACAGCACAGGTCAGCTCAGGCCTCGTTATATCGGTAAGCTAGAGCAGCTCAAAGTTGCATCAACTGCTGAGAGCTTGAGCTGGCATTGTGGCAAATTTCACTGTGGGTTTTTGTACAGTCAAAAAGCAGTGTTAGGTAATTATTCCACCAAAAAGTTCTTCTAGCGGTACGTTCCACAACAAAATCGGCCACGCATGGTGATGCCAGACATTGACGGAAGAATCAGAAATAAAGCGGATGCCTTCGCAGCACTTACCCTGGCGCGATTGATAGTAGTCATCGAGCATTCGCCTCTGCTCTTCGTCTGCGGGCGCATGACATTGATCATGATTGATTGCGTGAGATCGTGAGTGATCACTTCCGCTTATGCGCCAATCCACTCATCATATTATGTACTGCTTTATGTCCACAATCAAAAATAAGCATCAAACATCAAACATCACGCTTGCGTGATAGTGATTTACGTGATATGCCACCATTCAAGCACTACATGAGTCAGCTGGTAAGAATATACATGAACAAACTGCTGTGCCTCGCACCAAACTGTTCATTTCACTAGCGTCGTGTTATCTATCATATAATCCAAGCTACAAGCATATTGTCAACAGCCAACGTGTCATTTCCTTTCGCTCTGTGCGGTTTGGTGTCTGCCAGACCTCCCCACCCCTCGTCTTTCCGCCACCTGGACATCCCCCGGCTCCGCCCAACAGACCTCACGACGTCCCGTTTGTCCAGGAAAGCTTTATGCATAAGCCATGAGGGGCCCCACGTGCGCCCCCCGGTGGGGGGCCACGTCCGAGGGCCGAGCGCGTGTCCCGTGCAGCGGCCTCCGCGTGGGCTAAGTCACGACGGGGACCCCCACACGTGTGTAGCTTTGCCCCACAATTGTTCACTCTCCTTCCCTACATAGCCCTGAGGTAGCACGGGCATATCACTGGCCGAAAGGGTTATAATCCGCACCAAGCCCAACTCAACGTCGCCTCCAAAGTGTTGTCGCTCAGACGGCTGTCCACATGCAGCTACCACACACCAAATAATGTGATCCGCCCCCCCCCCCCCGCCCCTCCTCATGGGAGTACCCGGTGACCACTCCCTACCACCCGCTCACTGCGTGACCGGCGCCCCGCCCCTCCCCGCCGAGCGCGCCGCCGGTCCGGCGCGTCCCTCACCGTCGTCCCGCTTCCGCTTGCCGATGCTGTTGCCGTTGGGGTCGTGTCCTGCCAGACCGAGGATGCCGCTGATGCTGTAGCTGGGCCGCGGGTCGCGGGCGTCGGCCGGCGGCGCGTGCGTGATGACCGGGGTGGCCTGGCCGGCCGGCGAGCCGCCCCCGTCGCCCATCGGGCCGTGGCAGCCGCGTACCTTGTCCGCCGCCTTGTTGCGCACGATCCTGCCGGCCGCAGGGGGTATGACGTCACTGGTGCGGACGGTTTCTGTACATGGCTTCCGTGGGAGGCTTCACTGATTTCCTTAGCATTGCTCTGGTGTTGATGGCGTCTTTGACATTGCGCCGGTGTCACTCTGGCGCCCCTGGCGTTTCTCACGTCCCTCCGCTGTCAGCGACAGCGCCATGGGTAGTGGAGAAGCATACATTCCCCTGCATGTTAATGCTAGAGGTAGACGTTCACGTCCTCCCTTTACCTGTTAATGCTGGAGACAGACAGTACGTTTTCCCGTCACCTGTCGATGCTGAAGGCATAGAGTATGCTCTCCTGTTACCTGTTGATGCTGAAGACAGACAGTACGTTCTTCCGTTACCTGTTGATGGTGGAGACCAGCGGCACGTTCTCCCTCGTTACCTGTTAATGCTGGAGACCGACGGCACGTTCTCCTGGTTGCAAACGTTCTCGGCCAGCAGCCGGTCGCGGATCTCCCAGGCGAAGATGGTCGGGTTGAGCCGCTTGTACTTGGCGATGGCGTCCACCACGTGCGGCGTGGCCACCTTGGGCTTGCTGCCGCCGATGACCCCCGCCTTGAAGCTGCCCGTCTCGAAGTACCTGCCGGGGCGGACGTCAGGGTCAGCGAGGTCAGGCTGCAGCCCGCCGTCGAGCGCTGATTCGAGCCACCGCTCTGAACATCCGCGACGACTCCCTGCCCGCGGCGGCATTGCATCGCTCGGTGTGCTCTCCTTCGCGTTGTGATACTATGGATTAACGTTAGCTCCGAGCTGAGGTCGCTTGCGCTCGAAACGGCACGACGCGGTCAGTGACTTGCAGTCAGTGCAGTATGCGTCACTTACTTGTCACTTTCAACATCCCCTCCCCCTCCCCAGTTTGACGCGAAGCAATATACATGTTGCCAGGAGGTGGCTTTTATCGCCCGCTCGAAGCTGAACAATGGTTCATTTAAGAGGGCTGATCAGACATACACAATTTCTTGCCGTGTGACAACGTGATCCATGATCCGTGATGGAAATATTATCATGAGCCACGCAAGGCAGCATACCTATCGGCTTGTTTTAAAAAAATATATGACGACAGCCGTCATTGCTGTGCTTCGCGTTCCAGTTTCAGGGATCTGCAGCCCTTGGTGGCTGCGAGCGGAGGGTGGCGGTGTGAGCGAGCGACGGGTGGCGGTGTGAGCGAGCGACGGGTGGCGGTGTGAGCGAGCGACGGGAGGCGGTGTGAGCGAGCGGAGGGTGGCGGTGTGAGCGAGCGACGGGTGGGGCGGTGTGAGCGAGGCGGCGGTGGCGGTGTGAGCGAGCGGCGGGTGCGGTGTGAGCGAGCGACGGGTGCGGTGTGAGCGAGCGACGGGTGGCGGTGTGAGCGAGCGACGGGTGGCGGTGGGTTCGGGCGACTCACCTGGAGAGGATCTTGCTGACGCAGCCGTGGCTGACCCGCAGCTGGCGCGAGATGTCGCACGGCCGCACGCCGTTGTGTGCCAGTTCGACGATCTTGTGGCGCACCATGTCCGGCAGCGGCCGGCCGTTGACGAACACGCCCCCCAGCTGGTTCACCCCGCCGTGACCTGACGGTGGCAAAGGTCAACGGCGTCAAATCTTCCGTGTCAGGACCCGCAGTCTTTTATTTATTGTTTGTAACTTGCAACCGTGCATTTTACCGCGAGGAAACGCCGTGCGACGAATCGTCACCAGTTTTCAGCAACTGAATCCGACGGAGACACCGACATCACGTGGCCTTACACGGCTTTGTTCTAGGTATCAGCTGAACTCGTCTGCGAAGCCGTCGTGCACTGATGGTGCACGAGGGGTGCACTAATGGTTAGGTCTTCACATCGCGAAGTGTCAGGTGACCAGTAAGCGGGTGTAAGTGCCGCTAGTGAGCTCACTCAGCTAGCTCGTGAGCTCACTGAGCTCACTCAGCGTGAGCACCAGCTCTCGCCCGTGCTCCGAACACCGGGCGGAGCGGGGAGGCGGCACAGCAGATCACGGGATCACGCAGGGAGGGAGGAGGGGGAGGGCGGTGCGGTGTGGGGCGGTGCTCTCTTACCGTCCTCGGTGAGTGCGTGATTGGTGCTCTTGCCACCCCTCTGAGGGGGGCATCTACCTGAAATCAAGACAAAACGTGCACGTTACATTCCGCCATGATCAAGCCGTGCAGGAGTTTGTGAGCGTCTGCTGTCTTAAATGTTTGAGCTCTGAGCGTCCACATTTGGGGAGTTGTGACACCGTCCACGCACGAGGCATTGCCATGGTACCGAAATGTGTGCAAATGGTCGAAAGACATACCGACATTGCCAGGATTTAATCAAGCGGGAATTAAGTATAGGATGGGAAGGAGCCACAAGACGTGAAACCTACAAGTGTTTGACATCGCGACGAAATATTTGTTTAATCAAAAAGTAAATGCCCATAAGCAAACATGTTCCTAAAGCCTAAACCTCGGGGTCACATGAGCATGGACCACTATGGAATCCAGGATCTGGTCCTTCCCCACCGTCCATCTTTCGACACCCGCCTTCTCCCTACGGCAACATCGTGCCAGCAGCGCCTCTCGCGGCCGGGGACTGAACCAGCGGCTGCCGGACCAGCCGCTGTTCGCGGCCGCCAGGGGCGCTCAGGAGGCTCGACGCCGCTGCTGCGCCGTCCGGCCCGACGCCACCGGAAGTGGCGGCCGAGGCGACGCGCCGGAAGTGTGGGGCGCGGGCCGGCAGCGGCGCCGCGCTGGCCCCGCCGCCCCGCCGCTCCGCGCGACCGCAGCGCACGGCTCGGCGGCCACTCTCTGGCCGGGGGTTAAAGGTCACCACACCAGGTCACTTGTTGGCACCACACCACACGGTCACGGCAAACGACGATCAACCGTGTAGGGTGACCTGGCTGCAGATCCATGCGCATTTATTGCATTGGTCATTAGCAGTTATATGGCCAACGCTCAGTTTCTGGTAAATCCATCCGCCCTGTGCGAACACGTAACCCTGCGACCGTTGATGGCGTCTCGATGCTCTGGACTGCGCTCTTCAGAACGGCGGAGCCAGAAGAGAACACCCGGCACGTGACGCATGCGCGAGCGGAATGGAAGCATATTGGCGGGAGGTTTTTTGGTCACGCGGCAGCAGCAGCGGCGGCAGCGGCGACGGCGGCTGCAGGCGGCTGCACCTTTGGTTGTCGTGATGCAGACCCGTGTTCAGATCCGTGTTCCCGTGTTCGGATCCGTGTTCCCGTGTAATCCGTGTTTAGATACACTCCCGTCTGTCGTGTGCTACGAAACTGGCTTGCCCCACTTTGAATGCACGGTATTCTTGCTTCGTACGTTGCATATGCTGTCATAACGCTCTACGATGTGAGGTCGAGGCAATGTCCTCACTCTGCCGTTTTCTTTTTTCATTCAACTGTGTTGAGTCAAACTTCAAGCAGCCGACACCAGAGGAGAATAAATGCCAGAATCCTAAGTTCATATGTGACAAAAACTTCTAAATGACGAGCAGTTCGTAAGCATTCAATATTATTATTGAGAGTCAGCCTAAATCTTGTACATTGTGTTGTAATCTTGCCATGGCAGCTTTCAAATTCTCAAGTTTCACCTCCAATTACGATCCTACTTTCCGGATGGCTTTCCAATATTCATGTCTACGATCGCACCTCCTAATCCAGCATAGGTCAGCCCAACAAACGGTAAAACAATTCACAGTTCTACAAACAGTTGAGCTGTAACAAGTTCACAGCTGTGAGAGAGTTCACAGCAGAGTCACAGCTGAACAATAGGTCGCTGGTCGTCGTGTCATTCGACAGGATTTGTTACGTGCGATCGTCTGCCTGGCGCGGTACGACGTTCTAAAACCACTAAATACATCACTACTAACGATGAAAAAAAGTGGAGCAATGTGACGTTCCAAAACCGCTAAACACGGCACTACTAATGATGAAAATAGTGGAGCAATGTGACGCTCCAAAACCGCTAAACACGACACTACTCAAATAAAAAAATATCAGATCAGAGTTCAAGGCAACTCATTTTCAACTCCTTTTCGGGGCTTGCAGTTTTGCGCCGCATTTTCACCCCTCAGCGCACCCTGACGACGGTCGTTGAATACTTTACACTGAGATCGGCGACCATGACCTGATGCATTGACGTCTCTAACGAGATCGGTGGCTACTGTCGATGTAATGCTCCCAGCAATAGCATAACTTACTCACACTGTCCATCGTACTGCCCACCAACGAGCCAGCACTGACGCACCATCGATTGCTGCACCGTCCTCACTTGGCAGCGAGGTTGGACGGTATGACGGTTTTCAACGGGCAGAAGGAGCTTTTTGGCCGCTTCAGGCGCTGCATGTTCTTGCCACTGTGGCACGAGACACACGTACGATCCAATGCTGGTTTGCACCTGACATCAGTCTGCATTGTTCGATTTTTCAAAACTGGTTTTCATCAAACTCGCTATCGCAAATGGGCTTAGCTACCGAGCCGGTCTGCAACACCATGCCTTTCTTTCTGTTTTCATTGGACGGGGGAGCTGTACGGTTTTTTGCAGCTTCCGTGTGAGAGCATGTTCGGCGAGAGGCTGTATTGGCGTGGACCGGTGGTCCCATCACAAGAAAAGAGAGACATCAAGACTCACCAAGTGATAACAGGCGTGGGACTGGGGGGAGGGGGAGGGGGCGCTGCGGAGAAGACGGGCGTCCCGCTCGCCACCACCATTTGAAGGGGGCCCCGTTACCTCCGGCCGCCCAGGCACGTTCGAGCTCAGGCACCACGCGCGGAATGACCAGTGGAGAGCGGTCGCCCGTCACGAGGACTTTTAAGTGATACTTGAGCTCCCAGCTGACGTGGACGGGTGAGGAGCCGTGTTTAGGGGAGGGGCACCCATAACTTCACCTGGAGATGGCGCTCCCATCAGCGCTCGGGTTATCGCTGGGGTCTGGGGAGCCCTGCACTGTAGTACAAAGATAAGCGCGATATTCGCTGTGACAATCCTCTCAAATGGCGTTTATTGTGCTTTAAACGACGGTTGTTCGCTGCGCGGGCCGAGCCGGAGCTTTTCGCAGGGTGCGTTAAAAACACCGACGTCGCTGAATCCGCAGAACCGCAAACACGCCAGTGTCGGCGGAAACATTCCGGCTAGCCCGCGGCCGCCGGAAACCAGAGACTGCTGTCTTTCCCACCAATTACCACCACTTCCGACCGGCTGCAGCGTACGCTGACGTCATACAATGACGTCACGTCAAAGGCACCGCTCCCCTAGTCCTGGTCGGGACAGCAATTTTGTGCAACATTGCTATTCATCTCTCTGATTTGATTTAAATCTGGATTGTCACATCCTACCATTTAAATGAAATCGTAATGACAAGCATGACGCATTTGAAAAGAGGAGTGAGGGGTGACGTCATCACATGACTCAGGCGACATGCCCAGTCTTCCATGCCCGAAGCAAGTGAACATGCTCTAGGGGAGCCCAAGCCGCTGTTTTGGCTGGCCTGGCTTCTGCTGTGGTCAGCTCAGCTTCGACGGCGAGGCCGCGGTGCTCGTGGTTACGCCGCTCATGCTGGTCGCCATGGAAACCAAACCAAACTCTGCACGCCTCGACCAACGCCGTGGGATGCGAGGACTAATAAGCCCTAGGGAGGATCAGAGGATTGAGAAACTCAGACAATCAGAGGAAAAAAGCAAAAAAAAAATAAGAGAAAGATTAACCTAATATCATACAACGCTTGCGCGTACAGCCTGTATTCGACCCGTGCGCGCGTGCACCTGCGTCTGCGTCTGCGTCTGCGTCTGCGTCTGCATCTATAAGAGACGGACCGGCCGCGGCCCCTGCTCAGGCGTGCTGGGATCAGATCGGAGCTGGGCATGCCAGCTGAGCCGATGAATGCGGAGGGGGGGGGGGGCGTGGGGGCGAGGGCGTCAGCCGGGATCCCGGGCGGGCGGGCGAGCGCGGTCCGCTCCCCATCATTCAACCACCAGCGCGGTCCGCTCCCCATCATTCAACCACCAGCGAGGCGACACTGCCGTGAACATGGCCAAGAAGAAAACAGTGTCGGAGCCGGGCCCTGATGTCTCAAGAGCGCAACACCAGCCAGTGTGGTGGGGAGGGGGAGAGCAGACTGACCGTCGGGCGGCGAGAGCGGCGCCGGCCGACGACCGCTGCGAGCGAGAGGGATGGACAGACCGGCCCGCGGCGACCGATGACCGTTGGGCATCCGACGGTGGGACGGCTCTCGACTGCACTGCAGACGGTCAGCATGTGCGACCACATCACACCCTTCACGCTGGTGGCCGCGGGGGGAGGGCGATGGCGCGTTGCCGTTTGACCGAGTGACGTCATCATGTGACGTCAGTGGGACCGTCATCTGCGGCCGCTTGCGCGCCGACAAAAACTGAGCCCATTGCGAGGCAGGCTGCACATCCGACAGCCGGCTTCCGGCGCCGCCGAGCCGTCGCGTGACTGGTCCACACGACGAGCGGCCGGCACGTGGCCAGGGGCGGCGCCAGGAGCGCGGCAGGGACGGCACGCAGCAGCTATCACCCACACAGAGAGTCGACCGTATTGCGGCGCCGGTACCGTGGCTCTGCGCGACAAAGCCATGCGCGTCAGTGTACCATCACGTATCAGACAGATGTTGCTGACATCGCCTCTGCGCTCCCCAGCTCGCTGGTCAGCTCTGTGCGGGGTCTCTGTGGGAGGGATCTGTGCAATGGCTCTGTGCGAGAGCTTTGTGTGAGGGTTCTGGGCGAGATGTGGATTGGATTGCGAGCAGCCGGGACGCAGAGGAGGAAAATTTTGCCTTTCGGTGGATGGCTTGCCAAGAAGAGGCATATAGACCTGGAGCAACAAACTTTTGGAGACGAGGGAGAGAAACACGATGATCAATGAAAACCGTTCATATCAATGAATTGTATAATTGTGATAACTCGGGATAACTCAAACCAAAACGGTTCTGTAAAACATCGCTAAATGGCAAAGGGGTGCTGTTGTTCATGACGGTGCTCAAGATTAAAGTAGCATAGAAATTTCGGTCATAACTGATCTCGCACCTCCAGTCTTTTTCATGGCGCAATAGCACGGGACGCAAGACCGGCGGCCCCAGTGTAGCCGACACCAGCGGCCCCGGCTGGCGGCTCGCCGCTCCCACGGGCCTTCCGGCGCCGACACCAGGCCCGGAAGCCCGTCATTACACCCGGGGGCCCGTGTCCGCAGCCTTGGGGCGCGCCGCGGCCGCCGGCAGCGCCGCCGGTGGCGCGCGCGCGCGCGTCCCTTTCCGGTCGGCTGGATCTGGGGCGACGGCGGCGGCGGCGGCGGGCGGCGGCGGCGGGCCCGCCGTGCATGGAAAACGATCGCGCCGGCGCTCCGCGTAATGCATGGAGGTTATTTACGGGGAAAACCTGACTGCAGGGAGCGGAGATAGAGCTGAAAACGTGAATTACGGCCCGACGGCCGGGCAGGCGGCTGGAAACGGATCTCCAAAGCGATCGATCCAACTCATCCCAAATGGCGAATGCCGTT